CACCTCATGCTAGTCTTAATTCATCATTGTTCCCACAATGATAACTGACCAGGGAGTTTAGAATCATTCTATAATGATTCAAGGATGCCGAAATATAACAAACATGCCAATCATATAACGGGAATGTAATGCATTCATAAACCAATGAATCAATACAAAGTCAAAATGTCATATCACGGATCATCCTAGAGCATTACAACCAACACCGACAACCCCAAATCCGAAAATAATTCAGATTTGGTTTTCTCTTGTACCATAGTTCATATGGGGTAACCTTGTTCCGTTTTGATGGAACTCGGTTTAAAATGTAACAAGCCGTTAACATGGATTCACCCCAAAATCTCTCGCTTAACCCCGAATATGAAAGCATGGAATTAATCATTTCTTTCAAGACCCTATTTTTCCTTTCCGCTACACCGTTTTGTTGCGGTGTGTATGGTGCGGTGGTCTCATGAATCACTCCTACAGATTCAAAATATGTTGGATCATAGTATTCCCCTCCCCTATCAGTCCTAAGCTTTTTGAGTTTAACCCCGAGTTGTAACTCAACTTCGGATTTGTATGCCCTAAACCTATCTAGAGCTTCATCTTTAGCATGCAACAAAAATACACAGCAATAACGTGTGGAGTCTTCAATAAAAGTCACTACGTATTTTTTGTTACCTAGAGACGGAGTTCCATGCAAGTCAACATAAGTCACTATGAACTAACTCTAACAGTTCCAAACTCCGTTCTACGCTAGCAAACGAATTACGAGTTATTTTCGTTTTCATGCAAGTTATACACTTATCTTCGTTCATGACACATAGTGGAATTAAGTCCATCTTTGACATAAGATTTATCCGTTTATAAAGAACATATCCTAATCTAGCATACCATAATGTAGAAACATTTGAATCAACAACATACAAAGAAGAAGTGCAAACTTTATTGATACTTAGTCTAAACATATCATTACATAGATAACCCTGCCCCACAAACACTCCTCCTTTAGAGAGGATAAACTTATCAGCCTCAAAGACCATCTTGTAGCCAAATCGATTAAGTACACAACCCGACACTAGATTTCTCCTTACACCCGGAGCAAAAAGAACTTCCCTAAGGGTTAATGTCTTTCCGGATGTAAGCAACAACTCTACTTGCCCCTTTCCTTGGACCTTGACCGTCGAGTTGTTTCCCATGTAAAGAACGCTTCCGTCTTCTATGACTTCTAGAGTCTTGAAGAGCTCACGTTCTTTACAAATATGTCGAGTTGCTCCCGAATCGATCCACCACGATTGATCACCCTCCTGAACATGATTTAACTCGTAAATCATACCAACAAAATTCATATCCGAGTTTGTCAAGTAACAATTATTGTTACCTTGAGTGGATTGGTCAAGGGCTTTGTTTCCTTGACCATGAACACTCTTCTTCTCGTGTTTATTCTTCCACGAGTAGCAATCCCATTTGAAGTGCCCTAGTTTATTGCAAAACCAACAAGTCGCACTCGACTTTGACTTCTTCTTAGGATTGCCCTTGGAGGGTTTCTTTCCTTGTCTTTTGGCTCCACGTTTCTCATCCTCTACAACATTGACTGTAGTAAGAGGAGAAACGCCTTTCCCATCTTGCATCCGGAGATCCTCCTCGATGCGAAGATGTGTTCCCAATTGTTCAAGAGACATATCCTCTTTTTTGTGTTTCAGGGAACGCTTGACATCCTTCCAACTCGGTGGAAGTTTATCAACAATGGATGAAACTTTGATTGTTTCATCCATCTGCAGTTTGTGTTGTGTGAATTGACTTAAGATCCTTTGTAATTCATGGAATTGCTCCATGACCGATCTTGAGTCCACCATCTTGTAAAAGTTAAAACTACTTACAAGAAATCTCTTGCTAGAGGCATCGTCAGAGACGTACTTAGCCTCCAGCGAATCCCACAAGGCTTTGCCGTATCCATGTATTGATAAACATCAAAAAGTTCATCGGACATACCGTTAATGATGTGGCCGCAACACACGTAGTTATCGTTGTCCCATTTGTTCTGTGCGCGAGCCGCTGCCAATGTCTCCTCTTCGGTTTCTTCCGGCCTAGGAGTGCTTATCACGTAGACGACGTTCAACGTCGTTAGGAGGAAATGCATCTTCTTCTGCCACCTTCGGAATCTCATGCCCTCGAACTTATCGAGTTTATGAAAGTCTATGGTAAGATCTCTCACAGAAGTAGTCATCCTCGAGTGGATAACGTTTTTAGATTGTTAGGAATCTGGGATATAAAAAGAAGAACAATAACAGAAAAGTAAATAGGAACCGGATAACTCTTCAAGGCGTGATACACTTTCCTTAAAACGTTATTCCGTCCTATACGAGCAAAGGACTTTCCGGAATACGTCTTTGAGATACAATGAAGAGAGAAGTGATCTTAGTTTGCTCTACTAAGAACACAAACACAAGAAATTGCAAGAAGAAGATGAACAAAAGGCTTTTGTGGGTGTTTTGCAAAAACAACCACAAAAGTGCTCTCAAATCTCTCAAAAAACGATTTAGATCAGTTTTTTTTCGTGTTAGGATGTCCAGGGGTGTTAATAAACACTCCAAATGTCGAAAGGTGTGAAGAAATCGGAAGTTTTTCCCGAACGATCGCGATTTTTCGCTCAATCCGAACTGCTCAGAAAAAACGGGCTGCCCGCCCGTTTTGTCGAGCTACCCGCCCGTTTATGTCTGAATTGCTCAGAAAAAACGGGCTGCCCTCCCGGTTTTTCCGAGCTACCGCCCATTTATTTATGAGCTTTATTCCTCAGAAAAAACAGGCTGCCAGCTCATATTTTCGAGCTGCCCTCCCATTTTTTCTGAGATCACCTTTACGTTCAAAACCGAACGTAAACTCTTTCGACGTATCCTTAACACTTAGCCAATTCATACCACGTCTTTTACAAGCATTTATCTCCTCCACCATACTTGTAATACACGTGAAACATAAATCCTTTTGAGATATTCTAAATTTCCATTCATTTACTCTAAAAATACCAACATGTTCAACACTTGGGAAGTCCATCCAAAAGGGAAGTCCATCCAAAAGAAACACTTGGGAAGTCTAAACCAAGACACCAACAATAACCATGGCGTGTCTAACTATCGAAAAAACCAGATCATATGCAATTATTTAATTCAAGTTATATAAGAAAGTATTTTTAAAATTTTATTAAATAAAAAACAAGTGTGAGTGTGTCTCTATACATATGTGATAGTTTATTTTTAATAAAACTTATAATAAATAATTAAATTAAATGAATTTTATAACGAACGTAAATTCTATTATTATATATTCTTTTCGGTAATTATATAAAATTTTATTTTAAAATGATTTGTTTTTTTTTTGGCTGAGTATTTTTTATGGTTGAAAATTTATCGGTATAGAATAAAATTGGCATGTTATTCACCGGATCGAAATGGATAATTAAATAATGGTGATAAAAGAAACCAAGCATGATTGGATAATGGTTGGGAAGCATTAGAGTTAGTGGAATGATAAATTCCACCAACTTTATTATAACAAATATAAACATAACATTTCATTATGGAAAAAATTGTATATTTGGGTGTTGAGATCGCATTGTCAACCAAACCACCTAACTTTACTTTCATGGTTCCTACCTCACGAAACACGTTTCTTTAATATATTTTGAATAAATAAATATTTTTTTTCCCAAAATTAACATGATGTGAGAAAATTCGTGTTGTCTACCATTTGGAAATCTCATCTTTGTTTGTTCATGAAAACATAGGATAATCAATCAGAAAATATAGATAAATTATATTTTTTTTAATTTTTTTAATTTTGCTAATTTTTCTACGAACAAATTTATTTTTTACGTACAAGTAAAATATATAAACTTTCATATCATATAGTTTTTTTGTATTCAGTTTTTAATACGATCCGAGTATTCAAATTTTTAGATTTGATGAGTGAATTTTATGGGTGCATTAATTTAAACGTGCTTAAGCTAATTTTATGATAAGCTTTATTTATTGTTTTATTTGCGGATTTATTTATTGTGTTATTAAACATATAATTTTGTGCCAATTAATATCTGCATGTCTATGAAATCTGATTTTTTTTTGTATTATGTAAAAAATCTAAGTAAAACATATATTTGTCCCCCATGTATGCAAAACTTGCATCCATAATTAATATTCTTCCGTATACACATTTGACATTACTATTCGGATTTTGCCAATTTTGTATTTATTTAAAACAAATTAATATTCGGTCAAAAAAACATTGAATTTATTAGTCGAATAATAAATATACAGTTTAATGCAGATACATTGAGAAATAAATATACTTGACTATTTTTATTCTTTATTATGTATATCAAAACAAAATTTTAATTTGTATATTATAAATATATTAAAAAGTCGGACTTTGAAACAATATGTTATTGTAAAGGATGAAACTATCATTATAATTATAATACATTAAATTCTGTAGGTTCTATTGACAAATTGTTGTTTGAAAGAATTGGATTAATTATTTTAGAAGTTTTTTCAATATATTGGAATTTGTATTCACTATAGTATTTCAGAATTTATGCCAAAAATATAAAATCTTTAGATATTTACCAATAATTTTGGAGAATAGTAATAGATGCTGAATTTGGACTTCGGAAACTGTGATTTTTAAATATAAAAATTATATGCAATGGCGTTAAAAATAATTTTAATTTTAATATATGGTGCAACATCTAACAATTGGGTACGGTTGATTGGTCTAAAGAGAAGGCAAAAATACAAAAGGGACGGGAAACCGATAAATCGAGTTTCCCAAGCGGAAAGTGCCGACTGCCAAATCAGACAAAAGACGAATCAGTACGTCGCCGTTTTGTCCACGTAGACTTCATCTCTCTTCCCTTAACCGGCGATAACAGGTAAACTCTCTCTTACCAGACCCGTTTCATCTCCGTTTGGGTCTTCGGTCTGTCAGAGTAAAGACCTTGTTGGTTGTGTCACTATAAATAGCAGCTTCCTCATCTGTGCTCCTCTTTTTCTCCTCTTCCTCTCCTTCACAATCCCCTCTCGCTTCCCATTCTCCGGCGAGTTCGCCGGAGATCGTCTTCGCCGCCGGCGTGGAATCTCGCCGTCTCCTGAGGTTCTGTTCGGCTTCTCTGTTCGATTTTTTTTTTAAACGTTTAGTTTTACTTTGGTTGAAGAATCTATCCTCTCGTGTTCGATTCGTTCCGGAGATTTAGATCTGTTTTTGTTTCGCCTATGTATAGCATGTCTTGTCCGAAGTTGACTATTCTCCGACAGTTCGTCGCGGATCTTGATCTCTCGGTCTCATATACATTTCGAATACCGCAATTCGATCCTAGGGGAAGTAATTTTCCGGGAAAGTTTATGGATGCAATGTGGTATTTTCGCAGGAGAATATATATATTTTTTAGTTTCCGTTAGAATTTTCTGACGGATTCGCACTACTTTTGGATTATTATTTGGACATTTTCCGGGAAAGTTTTTTATCGCACATAACCAGTCTTGCTGCAAATTTCGTGCGTGTTTTTGGATCGGCGGTTTCATGAGATAAAAAGAGAGAACCAAAAAAGGAAAGTTTATGTATCAGATAAGATCATTAGAAGCCTCCAAATCAAATGTTGCTATAAATAAACACCATTTATCTCCTGCAATAATCTCACGGATCTTCCTCTAATTCAGTAGTTTCGATTCTTCCAAATGTTTGTTCTGTCAGTACCTAGATCTTGTTCTGTCCGAACCAAAGAGCTTGATCCACTAAAACCGAGATGGATGGTCCTAAAGAATCAGCCGGTCTCAGAACCGTTGGATCGCATTGCTCGCTCTCCGAGATGGATGATTTCGACCTCTCTCGGGCCTTGGACAAGCCGAGGCTCAAAATCGAGCGGAAGAGATCGTTTGACGAGAGGTCAATGAGCGAGCTCTCGGCTAGTTACAGACATGACAGTATCCACGACAGTACCTATTCCCCAGGAGGGCGATCGGGAATTGACACGCCTCTCTCGTCGGCTAGGAACTCCTTCGAGCCACATCCAATGGTCGCCGAGGCTTTGGACGCTCTTCGTCGGTCCATAGTGCATTTCCGCGGCCAACCTGTCGGAACCATTGCAGCCTACGACCATGCCTCCGAAGAGGTCTTGAACTACGATCAGGTACATGTTTCTCTGTTCCCAAGAACGGTCTCACTTCCTACATCGAGCATTGTATGATGATGTTTCTCGGTTGCTTGTGTTTCAGGTGTTTGTACGGGATTTTGTACCGAGCGCACTCGCGTTCTTGATGAACGGAGAACCCGACATTGTGAAAAACTTCTTGCTGAAGACACTTCAGCTTCAGGGCTGGGAGAAGAGGGTCGACCGGTTCAAGCTCGGTGAAGGAGTTATGCCCGCGAGTTTCAAGGTACTTCACGATCCTGTCCGGAAGACAGACACGATAGTAGCCGATTTTGGAGAGAGCGCCATCGGAAGTGATTCTGGTTTCTGGTGGATCATCCTTCTCCGGGCATACACAAAGTCCACCGGAGATTTGTCTCTCGCTGAGACACCGGCTTGTCAGAAAGGAATGAGGCTTATACTATCTCTCTGCCTGTCTGAAGGTTTCGATACATTCCCTACATTGCTTTGCGCCGACGGCTGCAGTATGATCGATCGGAGGATGGTAAGAGATTCCGTTCGTTTGCGTTCTTGGAATATTGGTTGTGAATCCACCGACCCAATTCATTTGATGAAATGATTGATGTTTTAGGGAGTGTACGGTTATCCGATCGAGATCCAAGCACTGTTTTTCATGGCGTTACGGTGCGCGTTAGCGATGCTAAAGCACGACGAAGAAGGCAGAGAGTTCATAGAGAGAATTGTGAAGCGTCTCCACGCATTGAGCTACCACATGAGGAGTTACTTTTGGCTCGATTTTCAACAACTCAACGACATTTACAGGTACCGTTAAAGCTTCGGCCGGAATCGAATTCTATCAGATGACAGTATGTTTTGAGTTCTTGTGGTATATAAATGTAAGGTTGGGCTCGGCTTAGTTCACTACCGAATGCACGCATTCCGTCGGTGAACCGGCTGGTATCGGGTTTTAACTTGCAGCAACCGAATATGAACGCTTGGAAGAGTTTCTGGTGCAGGTACAAGACAGAGGAGTACTCGCACACGGCGGTGAACAAGTTCAACGTGATGCCGGATTCGATCCCGGAGTGGGTGTTCGACTTCATGCCGCTGAGGGGAGGCTACTTTGTTGGAAACGTAAGCCCGGCCCACATGGATTTCAGGTGGTTCTCGCTCGGCAACTGCGTGGCCATCCTCTCGTCCCTGGCCACGCCCGACCAGTCAATGGCCATCATGGACCTCATCGAGGAGCGTTGGGAGGAGCTCGTGGGGGAGATGCCCCTCAAGATCTGTTACCCTTGCATTGAGAGCCACGAGTGGCGCATCGTCACTGGTTGTGACCCCAAGAACACCCGCTGGAGCTACCACAATGGCGGGTCCTGGCCAGGTACTTCTATATATATATATAGGATCAATCTAGCTAGAGCGAAGTTTTTAAGACAGTAAATGATGTGATGACTCTTATAAGTAGGAAACACTAACTAACTAAAGGTCTGGTCGGAATGTCGGTATCTGTGCAGTTCTGTTGTGGATGCTGACAGCAGCGTGCATAAAGACGGGAAGGCCGCAGATAGCGAGAAGGGCGGTGGATCTGATAGAGGCGCGCATACACAGGGATTGCTGGCCGGAGTACTACGACGGGAAGATGGGAAGGTACATAGGGAAGCAGGCGAGGAAAAACCAGACATGGTCCATAGCCGGTTACTTGGTGGCAAAGATGATGCTCGAAGATCCTTCGCATCTCGGCATGATCTCTCTCGAGGAAGACAAGCAGATGAAACCTGTTCTCAAGCGATCTGCCTCCTGGACTTGCTGAATCGAATCACTCTCTCTTAAATGTCATTGATGTTACCTTCTTCTTTTTCTAGTCTTCTTTCCAAGACACTTTCTTGAATGGAAAAAATGCGTCTGCGTCTGCGTCTGCGTCTGCGTCTGCGTCTGCGTCTCTGGTAGTGGCGACGTTTGGATATGGCAACGTATGGTTAGGTATCGTTGCCATGTTGTTGTCTATAAGTTTAGTGGTTTAGAGATCGATGGATTGCGTTGAAAGCGTACCAACATCAAAATCAAAGAATTCACAATGTTGATCATTTCCGCGTTTCAACCGCTAAAATGGTATTCGCCGCCATTAACGGCTTACTCCAAAAGATATGCAATGTTTCGGTGGTCTGTTCAAGTTTTTGGGCATTTTCGACATCGGGCCCAAATGGGCCTTTTGATTTGATCCAAATGGGTATCATTATAATTGAGCCTCTTTTGAATTGGGCCCAATTGGTAAATTTTATATATGATTTTTTTAAAGGAAAAAACAGAGAGAGAGAATTTAGGGTAATTTTTAAAAAAAATGAAAAAGCGGGGGATAATGGAGGGAGAAATCTTAATCAGGAGATGCCATTGCTGAGTTGTCTCCCATCTCTTTGTTTGCAGTTCCGTGCTCTCTTCTCTTTCAAATAAAAAGCCCTATATACAACAGTGGCCAACCTACAAGTAATTTATTTTTATCATAAAATTTCAATTATAATCTTATAATGTCCATAAGTTTATTTAATTGTTTATCTTGAATGTGATTTATATTAATTCAATATATATTTGAATCAATTTTAAACTAATTATATATATTTCATAATTAAAAAATAAATAAAATGAGATTTCATTTATTTCAAATTGAATTAGATTTTACTATATTTTTTTTTTATTAATTCAACCAATCAAATTATAATTATCAATGCTAATATATGTCATTAAATTATTAAATATTCTTTTGTATTGTTACCTCATAACAATTTTTTTTAATATTATCAAATATATTTTTAGAGTTTGATTATTATATTTTGAAAATATCATAAAAAATATATTTTTAAATAAATACACGAAATTTGAGGAAATTGACATATATCTCGACGCTTGTAAAAAACGAAGAGTCACGTCAGATTTAGTCGATTAATTTCAGTAGTTGACTAATACCTCCACAGTCATAAAAAAAATAGCAATTTTCACAAAGTTTGTGTATTTATTTAGAAGTAATAGAATTATGTATTTGTCTATAATAGTTTATAAAGTTCATAATTTTTTTTAATTATGGATTCTTCCAAATATTTTTAAATTTGAAATTTCAAAATATTCTTTTAAAAGGTAGACTTTTCATGTTTAATATATATTTTTTATGAAAAATATTCATTTTTTTTAGAATTTTTGGTTTTTATCATATTATCTTTAAGATTATAATTTGTATCTACATATTTATATGCTAGAATGTGACCCAGTATTAAATAGGAGAAACTCAGTTTTGTTCTTTTAAGGGAAAAAAATACAGCGCAGTGAACCGTGGGGGTTAAATTCAGACAAGCATCACGTTTTACTAACGCAGTTACCGTACGATGCATTTATAACTCTGCCTCCCTCCATATATATATTATCTGTCTCCCTTTTGACTGGTTTACAGTTTTACTCTTTTTACTCCTAGAATTCACACGTGCTCCTGTCTGAACCTTTTTTTTAATAAATAAATTAAAGTAGAAATATAGAGTAGGGGCTATTTTTCTTTTTAAATTTCCTTCGAGTCAGTGTTGGTTCTTTTCATCGCTAACTCACACCAAAAAAAAAAAAAAAAAAAAAAACAAAAAGTGGTCCACGAGACAAGACAGGTGCCATGGGTACATAAATTAGTTTTATTTCCTCCCGTTTAGATATTATATTAATGAGTATCTTCATTTTGTTTGTGATGATGTTTATCCAATTTCTCACATATAACATGATTTGATTGGACAGATGTGTATTGATTTATATGATATTATTCTAAGTTTTTAAATTGAGAAAACAAGTTTAAAATTAAATTGCGAGTTTTGGAAAACAAAGAGTTTAAATCTATAAAATGTGGTTATTATTGCATTAGAATTTAGACACGTGGTCTAATAGATTTGTTTGTTATTTGCGCCCTGGAAGTAATTCACTAAATCTCCCTCCTCATGAATGGATTTATGAGAATTTTTTTTTAAATGGTATAGCAACCTTTGTAATAAAAAAACGTATTGTATAACCTTCTTCTTTATTCACTTGTAATTGTATAATTGCACTCCTTAATCATGGTGTCTGTAGTGCTTATTATATATATCAATGTTATTGCGATATAGAATATTGCATAATAGGATCAAATGAGAGATTGGAGATTTAATTATTGGCCTCATCATTATGCTCCTTATCTTCCTCGAGCCTTTTGATAATTTCGGGGGGAAGCCAAATTAAGAGAACGTTAGAAAGAGACATTTGTGCTATTATCGTTGATTTATTATAATAAAAAAATAATACATAATCATTATACATATATATATATATATATAAGAGTAACTTGTCTTATTTTCCTTTTTTCCTCCCGCAAGAACATTCAACATTTCGCACCAGAAAATTCCATGGAAGTCCAACCTAAAAGAACCACAAAAAAACAAAAATACCAACAAAGAGATCCTCCTATTTCTCTATTTTGATGAAAATGTCCCAAAACTTATGAATTGAGCAATCTACGCCTCTTTTCTCGAATCTATATACTGATATCATGCACAAATGAATTAAGGTAAAAACTTGATTAATATCTAAAGACCATGACATACATAAATCACCTCAAAATCACAAATTTCGAGTGCGGTCTAAATTCAAAATTCAATATCGATATATATATATTGAATCCCATAGTCATGCAGTAGCAGTACACTCTAAGATTTCCTATATATCGACACGTGTTTAAGAAGGTTAATACCACAATACGCAAGAAAATGAAGCAATCCAGATTCAGAATTCGCCAGCTGTGGTTCACAACGAAAGGTTCGGAAGATCGATGGGAAAAAAAGGTTATATACAAAATCTGGTGCTTCTTTCAGGAAGGATGGAAAACCGTGGGGCGAAGAGTAAATATCCCGAAATATAAAAATGGGGGGAAGGGAGTCAAAAGTAGGGCAGAGAGATGAAACCTTCGATGGGCGGTGTGGCAGTAGCAAAACACCCGTGATCATTTGGTGTGGCAATAGCAAATAGTGATATCTAGAAGCATAAACTAGTGGGACACTGCCATACAAAAATAATAACAACAAAGGCACCCTCTCTCTCTCTCTCTCTCTCTCTCTCTCTCTCTCTCTCTCTCTCTCTTCTGTGTTGTCATCCTTTCTTCTTCGTCCTCTTCTCTCTCTTTCTTCAAAGCAGAAGACAACAGTCAACACAATTTCATAGCCCCACAAGAAAGAAAGAGAAAAGCCCCCCCCCCCCCTCCCAGAATTCTCTGCTGATGAATCTGCAATTTCCCAAGTGAAAAAATCGGGATTTCCAGCTGAAAAATGGGGGTTTTCTTGTGGATCACGAGTAATCTTCTGTAAAAACTTGTTTTTTTTAAAAAAAAAATCTGGTTTTTTTGGGCATCCGAGGAAGTCTATTTTTTTTAAAGAAATGGAGTCCCACCAAGACAAAAACAACAACAATCAGAGCAATACAGACCATCATCATCATCATCATGATCATCACCAACACCATCATCTCCAAAGCACTTCGGTCCAACCGGTCCCATTCATGAGCTCCATTTCTGGTCCAATCACCACCGCCGCAGCCGCCGGGAGCAACGCGAACGCAAACACCGCCGTCGTCCCCGCCGCAAAAACCGGCGTGAAGCGGCCGTCGAAGGACAGACATACGAAGGTAGACGGACGCGGTCGGAGAATCCGCATGCCAGCTATCTGCGCTGCTAGGGTTTTCCAGCTAACCAGAGAATTAGGGCACAAATCCGACGGAGAGACGATCGAGTGGCTCCTCCAGCAGGCGGAGCCCGCAATCATCGCCGCCACCGGCACCGGAACCATCCCGGCCACCCTCAACGTCTCCCTACGCAGCAGCGGCACCACCATCTCCGCTCCGCCGTCTAAATCCGCGCCTTTGTCCTTCCACAGCTCCGCCGCCTTGTCGCTCTACGACGGAGACCCATCTCGAAAATTCATCGGGAGAGCCCAAAACGCCGCCGTTTACGGCTTCCACCACAACCACCACCAGCTTTACCAGAACCCCACGGATTCTTCTTCTACTACTTCTTCTTCTTCTTCTCTCACGAAGCATTTCAGGGAAGAAGATCTCTTCAAGGAATCGAACACCGAACCGGGGGGTTCGGGTTCTCCTAAACCGGATCAAGAACCGGGATCGGCTCGGTCGGCAACGCAGAGCATGATTCCGCCGGCACCGATGTGGGCGGTAGCGGCGCCGGCAACGACGAACGGGGGGAGCGCGTTTTGGATGCTTCCGGTGGGCGGTGGCGGAGGAGGGGCCGGCATGGCAGAGCCTCCGCCGTCGATGTGGGCGTTTAACCCGGGTCATTACTCGGGCGGTGGGCGGGTTGGGTCGGTCTCGCTCGGGTCGATGATGGTGCAACAGGCGGTGGGTGGTGGTCATCAGCAGATAGGGTTGGGAGTGGTGGAGAGTAATATGGGGGTTTTGACAGGCGGAGGAGGAGTCGCCGGAGGTTACGGCGGAGGAGGGAGGGTGGGTTTGGGGATGAGTTTGGAGCAGCAAGCTCCTCCGCCGCATCACCAGCTTCAAGGTGAGAACCAGAGGCAGGCGAGGGACAGTGGAGACGAAAACCCTACTGGGTCTCAGTGACAGTGAAGTGACGTCATAATTAATAATAATTCTCTTTTTTTTTTTAGTGATTTTGTTGTTTTTTTAAGTGTGATTTTGTGGATTTTTTTTTTGTCGTTGCTGAGAATTTCAATGTAAATATTGCATTTTTAGGCGTCGGGATTGCCGATTGTTTTCCAAGATTAACGTGGATTTTCTTGCTTAATTACCCTTATTAACCCACCGTAAAAAGATACGTTTTGTAGCTTTTATCCTAATCTCTCTCCTCCAGGAGACGAAAACCCTACTGGGTCTCAGTGACAGTGAAGTGACGTCATAATTAATAATAATTCTCTTTTTTTTTTTAGTGATTTTGTTGTTTTTTTAAGTGTGATTTTGTGGATTTTTTTTTTGTCGTTGCTGAGAATTTCAATGTAAATATTGCATTTTTAGGCGTCGGGATTGCCGATTGTTTTCCAAGATTAACGTGGATTTTCTTGCTTAATTACCCTTATTAACCCACCGTAAAAAGATACGTTTTGTAGCTTTTATCCTAATCTCTCTCCTCCATCTCTACCTTAATTAACGTTAGCCGAAATATATATATAAGAAAAAAGAAATGGACCGTCTTTGCATGAGAATCACAACCAAAAGCTAATAAGTAGATCATATTATAATATAAAAACATATTTTCCGCTTAATTATTTTTCGTGTTGGATCATTTTCTCTTGGTTGGTTTGAAGTTTTTTTAATACATTTATTATACAGAAAACGATAGAATTAATTACAGCACGTCAAATGAATGGAACATGAATATGAATAGCATCGACCAAGGGGGGATACATCCCTTTTCCGGTGCATGAGCACCACATGTTTGGGTACAAATGGATTTCATCATATTTTCAATTATTATTATCAGCACAATATTAAAAAATTCGTTTACCACAAGGGTATTTTAGTAATTTAGGAAGGTGGGTTGTCCACTTTCAGACCAACAGGGACACGTCAAGGAGATCTGTCCGACAAATCATTCCAGTGTTCACACTGTGTACTTCGAATCTCGTGAAGCTTTGGTTTTGTGTTACTTTAGATTTTGTAACCCCTGCTTGTGTTTTTATATACATTAAAATAAAAAATAAAAAAAATGATACAAATCTAAAATATATACAGAAAAATACCACAAAACGCAATTTATACATATACACCATTTTCACCGTTTTTATCTATAGATGAATATAATAACGATACTGGGATTACAATTTAAATAATACGGGAGATACCGTAAACACGACATTTACATGATATCATTATTTCGTCGTAGCTGTATGGACGGATCTAAATTAATAACATTTCACGATTTTAAATAGATTTGAAGACAAATGCCATAACGCAACATTTTTTCCCTGGTACAGTTTTTTCTTTCGTTATACAGTCGTTTGCCCTTGTAACTTTTAAGATTTAAGATATTTAAAAAAAAAATAACAAATTTAGGGTTTGGGAGTAAATGAGAACTGTGGCATGAAATTTCACAAACGCTGCACTGAGGCTATGTCATAGGCTCTAAAGTCAAGATGGACCGACCTGCACAGTAAATCGAAATAAACCCTAATGAAAAATATATGAAAATGAAAAGAAAAATCCATCGCCAAAAGGTGCAGGAGCTATTATGTGAAGCCTAAGCTAAGACTACACTGTAGTGCTGGAGGTAGACTCCAACTACACACAGTAACAAATAATCATTACGGCAATAATATCTGATATAATTGATTATAGAACCCTTGTCCTCTATTATTGAGCATGGAAATTTTGTCAATTAATCATATATATTCTATTTCGTTTTTTTTTTGGGTACGAGAAAGCAAAAATCTTTATTTTATTACATTTAGTGCTATGTACCTACCACTAACCTCCTTATGTTAGTGTTCTTATCGTATGTACATAAGTTATTTTCCCCAACGAGGAAAATAAATAAATGTTTTCACTGTTTACAGTTTTACTGTGTAAAAAGGCGAAGTGAAACTAGCACAATTGTCACAAACAGATCAGTGAATCAATGTGTGTATATTATTGGATTCTAGAGAAGGAAAGAGAGATTTGAGAATATTTTATGTGTTATTTCCAAATGATCAACAATTACAAATATTTATACAATGGGAAATAACCTAAATCGAACGCTAAACCAAATATTAATCCAATATTCTCTAATATACACACACACACACATATATATATGTATCGCTATCTAACACTGATGCATTCAATATTTTTCTTTACGATGCAACCAAACGTTATGCAATTTTATAGTGTGAATATTTGGCTGAGTACCTCGACGAAGGGATCTTTTAACTTTTCCCTTTTGTAATTATATTAATGGATCGATATTTTGGTATGGATAATACGAAAAACAGGGCGAATAAAATACAGATCTAGATCCATAAAAAAAACGGGTTAGATAAGACATTTCTAAAGTCAAATTAATAATCCCGACCAAATGTAAAACAATCAAAATAATTGAATAAAAAACAAAAACAAAACACGAATAATTATAGTTATTAGAAAAACAAAACTCGAAATATCCATTCCAAATTACAACATAGAGTTTTAGAAATACGGTGACTGGCACATATTAGAATTTACGTCGGGCAAAAACAAGAGATCAATCAAATTGCATCTAAGAGACAAAAGGGTAACAAAAGCTAAAGATGCAACATATGAAATATCACCAAAGTCTAGTTTCTATGTATCATCTAAGGAAATTTTATGATAGCGGCTTTCTAAACCCAGAATGATTAAACTTGCCCTTTTTCTTTTACCCTAATCATCTCTCTCTCTCTCTCTCTCTATATATATATATATATATAGTATATAATATTTGCTGAAGAGATAGTTACAATGCCGATTATTATAATCTCTAATGAAACGGCAGATAACAAAATAAAGAAAAAGTGGGGCAGTGCCTTTTCTTTTTATTGGGAATTTTGCTGAAGATTCCTACTCTTTCCGACATCAGCAAATGGCAGAGAGAGTCAATAGCAAAGAAAAAAAATGAGGGTTTTGAGTTTGAACTCATACCGATAATGTTCTTGGCAATGCTACCAAGTGAGCAAAGAAAGACCTGTCTTGTTGTGGGCAAGCGAGATATGATCAGCTCGAGGCTGTCTTCTTCTGCTGGAAAACGACGGCGTAAATGGGAACACCCACGCCGATGCTAAAAGCCGTGAAAACACCAAGAGACATCTTGAGAGCTTGATGCTTCATCCTGTCCAAGTTGTACATGTGCTTTGCGTGGAGGTAGTACGGTTCATCGTGGTGATGGCCACCGCCCATCCTCTTCACTCTGGTAGAATGGAAGCCTCTTTTCATCACTGTTCGATCAAAGGAAAATGTTACGGGATTTAGGGTTTGGTTGATTAAAAAGATGGGTCATTTGTTTCGCCTGATGTTTAACAAGATCAGGGTTTGATCACACACTTCAGCTGAGGTTGCAGGTGTTGGGGTATGATCAGGGTTTTTTGAGATATCTGTTTTAAGAATGCACAAAAAATGAGCTTTAAAGAGGAGCCTTTGGATATATCTGATTGCAATCAATATTTGATCAACATGAAAATGGACCATCATAAATGGATCAACCATAGACTGTTTTAGCCAAAGTTCCAAATTGCTGGACAAACTAGACACTACCAACATTATTGTTAATTTGTTATACTTGCAATGTGAGGATATGTAAGACAAAAATGTCTTAGGAGGACCACCAAGCAAGAAACATAAGCATCTTCAGGCCGAGAAATCACAAGAGAAAGAACCCAATTCTTTAGCTCCATAATCACGCCGCGAAGCTATTGGTAGGAGAAACTCTTAAAGCAAGTGTTTTGTTGTAGAATCAGAAAATTAAAGGACATTTGACAGAAATTTAAACGGAAATCAAGGATATCGTTCATACAAAAACATCAGAAATGAAGCGGCATGAGAACTAATTCACAGAGTTCATAATTATAGATGTTGTCACGCATCGTTCTTGGCCTAATTATTAGATATGCTCTCATAATTTTTTCACTCACATAGCATTTCGACACTTTACCACCGATTCACTACTATGCTTAGCTAACCAGAACAATAGACAAACTCATAAAAATCTCCAGAATCGTGAGCCTCATAAAACTCTTAACAGATTGCCTAAGTAGTGATAAACAGTTCACAAAGCTTCAGATAGGGAAGATAGAGAATCCGTGAAGACGAAATTCGTCTTGATCCAAAATACACGCCTTCGACTAGATCTGAACGAAAACAAATTACCAGCAATTCACTTCGCAACTACGCCTATATCCTTAAACTCTAATAATTTTCCATCATTTTCTCGGAAACCAAACAGAAAAAGGGGGAAATCAAAAGAATTCTTCAGGAGGAGACGAGCTAACCTGATCTCAAGCTAGCCGATTCAGATGAAACGAACAGCTTCGTGGCGGATCTTATACCATTGTTCAAAGCCATCGTCTCCGTCGTCTCTACGCAGGGATTCAAAACGAAGAAGAATTCTCTTCCCGGAGGCGGCCGCACAACTTTTTTTTCCTTGCGTGTTGATCTTCCACCAAGTGTTATTCAACCCCCAAGTATAACGGGCCTTAACCTAGGCCCAATTAACAACGATATGGGCCTATATTACAACTTATAAATCTTATTGGGCCTATGTTTATGTCATTATATGTATGGGTCGGCATGAGCCGATGGGGCTTTGAAAGTTTAAGAATTTTGTTTGGGAAATTAAAAAAAGCTTCTTTTTCCAAGATTTGCCCGCCAATCTTCGGCGTCTCTCTCCCTCTCTCCCTCTCTCCCTCTCTCCGGTGAGGGTTCCTGCGACAGAACACCGTCATAGTCACTCAGTTTATGACGGCGGTGTCGAATATCTGTGGGGAAATCGTGACATAGAAAGACTCCGGATGATGGGTCGAGTTCAGAATAGATCCCGGGAAAGGATAAAGTGATTTGCCGATATGGGTTCCGAGGTTCCGATAGAAATTGTCGAAGAAGCAGACGTGAGTTGAAAATTTCCGCTGTTTCACTTTCTGGGTTTTTGTTGTTTTCTATGTCTAAAGCGCCTGGTTTGTTCCTCTCTCCTTTATTCTGATTTTTCCGTTCAGGAGTTCGATTGGGAAGCTGCGGTGAGAGAAATCGACTTGGCTTGTCAGAAGAACACCTCAAATGCTTCTTGTTCTGTTCCTCATCCGTCTTCATTTCTTTCTTCATCGTCCCATTTCGTTTCCACCACCGATGCTTCTGTTAGGAAGAACAATCTGGGCGGTCCTGCATTCGGCAGTGGCAATAAACCTGTGGCTACTAAACAGTCTACGCTCGATAGGTTTATTGGAAGGACTACGGGCATACCTCCACCGGGCAATCGAATAGTTTCAAATCCGCAAGTAAATGAATTTTTTGTGGACGACGATGATAAGAATCCTCGCGTCGATATTGATCCAGAGGCAGCTAAAACTTGGATTTATCCAGGTTGCTGAGTTTGTAGCTTACCTATGATCTTCTTCTGATTTTAATGGTTGTGATGAAATTGGCGTGCTTATGATTGGTGCTTTTTGCTCTATGCAGTGAACGTTCCTCATCGAGATTATCAATTCTCAATAACTAAGACTGCTTTGTTTTCAAACACATTGGTGGCGTTGCCGACAGGGCTCGGTAAAACACTTATAGCTGCTGTCGTCATGTACAATTACTTTAGATGGTTTCCAGAAGGTAAGACCCCTCGCGCCGGCTTCTGTTTCCATGTAATGTCCTGAAAGTATTCTCTTTCAAAGAACAATGGTGCTCTAATAACTGAAATAGAAGTGTAACTGGAGGCTGTTTATGTTGGTCCTAGGTAAAATTGTCTTTGCAGCGCCTTCTCGGCCACTCGTCATGCAGCAGATTGAGGCATGCCATAATGTTGTGGGTATACCCCAAGTAAGTGATTCTTTCTTGATGAACTCTCTGCAGGAAAAAAAAAATCTGATGGATTTCCATCGCCTGATATTAGGAATCTGTTTTAATCAGACCCATAGATGCATTTTGAGAAGATGTTGGTTAAACTGACTGCAGGAGTGGACAATTGACATGACAGGTCAGACAAGTCCTGCCAAGAGGGCCTGCTTGTGGAAAAACAAACGGGTTTTCTTTGTCACTCCACAAGTTCTCGAGAAAGATATACAATCAGGTTATTCTTCAGAAGTGAATGTACTCGTATTTTGTTTTCTACTATCTGAAGTGATCACTCAATTAATGGATCTACTGTAAACTATGGATTTATTTTGTTGTCAGAAAGCTGAATTCACCGCTCCTTCTGATTAGTCTACTTACCTCTTTCAGGCTCATGTCATGTGAACTACTTGGTTTGCTTGGTAATTGACGAGGCTCATCGAGCATCAGGGAATTATTCATACTGTGTTGTAGTTCGTGAGGTTTGTCATCTACTTCTTGATAGTTCTTGTTTTGCACCTCTAGACATGCATCTTGCCTTATCTTGGTGTTCTTTATCTTCGTGTACGTAAATGACCAAGGTAGTAGCTGATGCTCTTTAATCTTCAGTTGATGGCAGTACCGGTGAAGTTGAGAATACTGGCTCTCAGTGCAACTCCTGGGTGTAAGTGACTGTTTTTGGTATGACTTCATTCATTTTGTATCCTCAGTCCATTAACACTTACCTTGATTGTCAGCAAAGACACAGGCCATCCAAGGTATCATTGACAGTTTGCAGATATCCACACTCGAATATCGAAATGAGAGTGACCATGATGTTAGCCCTTACGTTCACAACAGAAAAGTGGAACTAATTGAGGTGCAAGTTGGTTGAATTGCTTTCCAAAATCTGTTATTTTCTAAATTCATTTCCTATTATTTAGCCCCGTTCTGGTATAGCAGGTTCCCTTGGGTCGAGATGCTGATGAGATAAATAAACGCCTGCTAGATGTTATACGTCCTTATGCAGCCAGGCTCAGTTCGTTTGGACTTATTCAAAACAGAGATTATCAAACTGTAAGGATCTAGATCGTCTGATTTTCTTTGCCACTGCAATAGTTTTAATATTTCTCATGTGAATTTCAACAGCTTATTTTAGTGATCATACCTCTTCCCGTCATGTTTGACAGTTTAGTCCGTGCGATTTACTTACTGCAAGGGATAAATTTCGCCAAGCACCTCCTACAGGCCTTCCCCATGTAAATCACGGAGATGTTGAAGCTTGCTTTGCAGCTCTTATTACTCTGTATCACGTACGTAAGCTCCTTTCGAGTCATGGAATAAGGCCAGCATATGAGATGCTAGAAGAGAAGTTACAGCAAGGGTATGTTCTTTGCTCTGTTGTTTAGTTCTTATTTCTGAAAACAATAAGAATACTGTTCATATGGATTAGTTCTTATTTCTTATGAGTTTCACTGTACTTTCGAACAAGTTTTACAGCCATTGCCTTTGCAGGCCATTTGCTAGGCTGATGAGTAAAAATGAAGACATTAGGAAAGCAAAGCTTTTGATGCAACAGAGCATGTCAAATGGGGCACCAAGCCCCAAATTGTCGAAGATGTTAGAAGTGCTAGTTGATCATTTCAGTATGTTGCTTTCTGTTATTCTGTTACAATGTGATTAGGAAAGTGTACTTTTGTTCTTTTTCTGCTTTGAGGCTGGACTGAATAATGATGTGTGTATGGTATTGGTTGCAGAAATGACGGATCCAAAGTCATCAAGGGTCATTGTTTTCTCAAATTTCAGAGGAAGTGTTAGGTGAAATGATCTAAGATCTCATTGTTTCTTCCAGCTTGTTTGTTTACTCTCTTGCTTTATGGGCTTGACCTGATTGCATTCATCTTCAGAGACATAATGAGCGCACTAGATAATATTGGAGATGTGGTTAAAGCAACCGAGTTTATTGGTCAAAGTTCAGGTTTGTCGCTCATGCTTATCTTTCTTTTTCATCTAACTGAAAAATTGGCCTTTATGGAGAGTTATGCCAGGAGCTTTACGAATCAAGATTTCCTGTTAGCTAATCCTGTTCATTGATCTCTCATCTTTCAGGCAAGACATTGAAAGGGCAGTCCCAAAAAGTTCCTTTATGTGAGTGTTCCAGTAATTCTTGATCTCGTTGTCTGTTCTCCCGGGTAATCTTCCCGCGATCAAAGACCACCTAAAATTCCCACCACAAAAAAGAAAACCCATGATGTTAGGAGATGAAATGGTTATCTGGTGTTGTTGTCTTTTTTTTTTCCGGGAAAAGTTGCAGACTTTCTCGGGAAACAAACAGAGGAGGGAAATTTACTTGTTTCCGAGTAAGCTGTGGAGCTTGATGATGAGTTCATCTTCTTCTTCGGTGAAATTTCCTCTCTTGAGATCGGGCCGAAGATAATTTATCCATCTCAACCTGCAACTCTTGCCGCAACGCAACAGCCCTGTTTTCCACGCAAAAACATCGACACTATCCATCAGACCCATGTTTTTTTCTTCTGTAAAATTACAAATAAAAACAGAAAACGAAGCGGCGGATTTCATCGAACCCAATAAGCAACGGAAACAAAAACCGGAACTTTTCATCAGAACAGGAACAAAAAACGAGAACCCAGAAACAGAGATCTCTATCTCTCTCTCTAGGTCTGATTCGGAGAAACTGTAATGAAGCCCAAGCTTTATTTCAGCAGGCAGTTCTGGAGGTATTTCTGTTTTTTTTTCCCCGTTAATTTGCACTTGTTTACTGCAATGCTGCTTTGCTTTGTTTTCTCTTTACCATCTCTTGCATGGTGCAATCATATTTCAAACAGAAATTCAGAGCTGGTGGGTTCAACGTCATTGTTGCGACATCTATTGGTGAAGAAGGCCTAGACATAATGGAAGTTGATCTAGTTATATGTTTTGATGCTAATGTTTCGCCATTGAGGATGATTCAACGCATGGGAAGAACTGGAAGGAAGCACGATGGACGAGTTGATATCCTTAAACGATTTTTTTTGTCAACATGTCATTTGATTTATGCATATGTTCTCGATCATTTCACCATCTTATTTCCAGTGAAAATTATGTTGGAGCACATTGTTATGCAATTCCTTGACAAGCCTTTACTAGTTCTCGCTTGTGAAGGGTCAGAAATAAAGGCATATACGAGAAAGCAAGCAAATGGTCGGTCTATAAAAAAGCACATGCGAAATGGAGGAATGAATAGCTTTGATTTTCATCCAAGTCCGAGGATGGTAAGAGCTGTCTAAATGACCTTTCTGACAGTATTTGCTCTTTTCACCAGGCAACTTAAGTCATCAACTTTTTTTTAACTCATTTAAGTTACCATAATGTGGTATAGATTCCCCATGTTTTCAAACCAGAAGTCCAGTTTGTTGAGCTTTCAATCAAACAATTTGTTCCTCGTGGAAAGAAGCTGCAAGAAGATGTTGGCACCACCTCTGAGACTCCTGCTTTCCAGAAAAAACTTACACCTGCGGAGACGAATCTGCTTGCCAAGTATTTCAACCAAGATGGAGGAAGCACGCGGAGACCGTCGTTGATTGCATTCCCTCACTTCCAAGCATTGCCTTCCAAAGTGCACAATGTAATGCATTCACATAGGACAGGAATGTTGATTGATGCCATGCAGTGCTTGCAGGATGCAACATTTTCTGAACAGAACAAAAGCTTCTTCACTGAGGTTTGGCTCTTAATTTTGGTGTGAAATCCTTTTTGAAGGTTGCTTTCTTCATGCAGAATCTCGATCTAACAGTTGCAGGATGAAGCCCCTTTGAGCAACAAAGATGGGTTTGATGCAGCCTTGCAAGTCGGTGATGGCACAAAAGGTAAAAGTAATCTCATTTATCTCGTTGGAGTACCATTGTGCTTAAGAAAGTCATTGCTTTGTTATCATTTCAAAGTGGCACTAGATTAGTTTTAGATAACACTTGGAAAAGAAGAGAGAAAGCATATAGGAACCAATCTATACTGTGTCAATTACCAATTCTCACAAATTCGTGTACGGAATTAACTATTGAAAATTAGCTTATAAGAGGAGGTACCCATACACTTCTAAACAATCAACCAATGCTTCTGCTAAAAAATCCCTGGACTCCAATTTGACATGTCCGGGTTGTTATATGGTAGGTTGCCTTTTTTCGACATGAACCTTTTGCCCGGGATTTGATTTAACACTGATAAGTCTACCCTAGGTTTATACTTTTTCTTACGGGTTCATTGGTAGAGCTCACCCTTAAAGTTACCTTTTAATGGGATAAATCTAGACTTCTAGCAATCTCATATCTGGTCAATGTGGGATCATAATAAACTGTGAACATGAGGAAATTTGCACGTACCTGATTTCGTGAAAACTCGTTGCCTTTTTCTTCATAAGTAACTGCAGTACTGAGATTTGTGTTTATATTCATGCCCACACCTAGAGCTGGGATATCATTACAATTCAAGTGCTTTCTTTTTTCTGTTTCATCTGCATTTCATTTTCCTGAAAATCAGGCACTCTCCCTGAATGCTTCATAGCACATTCATTTTGTCAAACCAATGTGCAGATTTGCCATTTTTTGACGATTCGCTAGACAACACATCACAAACAAAAGCTAAGGACCCTGCAGCATCTCCCACAAGCACTTTAGTGACCGCTGAGAAAGATTATGAAGAATCTTTACCAACACATCAATATCTTTTCGGCTCAGAATGTGTATCCGTCGATAATCTGGGGAAGGTCTTTGTTATGCCTGTTCCCGTTTCACTGTCTGCTTATGTGCCATGTTCGAAGTGTACTGCTTTGACTAAAACAGGACATTCTGGCCTCAATGCATCCGACATTGATCTTATTATGAAAGCTTCTCAGGCCAGAAACCTTGACATTTCACACGACTTTAAACAAGGAGAATCGCCAAATTGGGTCATTCCGGTACAAGAGGCTCAAATTTTAGAGAATGATCTTTCAGAGGATGAAGGCAGAAGAGAGGAGATTGATGATGACAAAATCTTGATATTATCGGATAAAGATGATTTTGACGAAGAGGAGCTTAGTCCGAGGCTGACTAACTTTATCAAGAGTGGTGTTGTTCCTGATTCACCCGTCTATGATCAAGGTCGGTGTAGTCTCTTAATTTCTCGTTTACATGTTCTAAAGGCTCCACTGCACAGGGTCCCTGTTCAAAGCTAGATTAACACTTTTTTTTTCTGACATATTCAATTTTTGCAGGGGCTACGAAAGAAAACAACATAGAAGAGGAAGAGGAACTTGATCCTCCAGAGCTGTCTTCACCTGTCGGGTTTAATAGTGATTTGGCACAAGAGCCTTCTAAATCAAAGAGAAGGAATGAAGAAGGTGGGGAGTCTCACTATACGTCTGGGAGCAATGAATTGAAAACTCCCCAGATGAAGAAAGATTTGGCAAGTGAAAGAAGGAACTGCTTCATGGTTTCTCCCGTTCCGGGGGAATGGAGAACTCCCTTGGCAGATATCACAAGCAGCAATGCTAGCAAGGATTGGCGGTTAAGTTCTGGAGAAAAATCAGAAATCACCAGGCAGCCTCGCAAGTTAAAGAGATTGCGTAAGCTTGGAGATTGCGCAGCAACTTTGAAAGAGAACGGCTCTGGTATGGCAGAAGTGAATCATGCAAGATCTCGTCCTCACACTAGTTTTCGTGGAAAAAAGCATGTCGGAGGTAACTGGTTTTGTGCTATTAGAAATGACGTTATATTTACTATCTCTAGTTTCTTACACACTTCCGATCGCATACCATCATTTTCCATTCAGAAATGGGTTTTTGCTCAAACCCATATACCTTTAGTGTCTCGGTTTGCTTATCAAGTGACGTTTGTGGGCTGCTAACACTTGGTCACTCTCCTTTTAAGGCAAAAAGAACTGCTTAGACGCCAATGTCAGAGTCTTCATCGATGAGGAAGCCGAGTAAGTTCTTATCTTCTCTGCAATCAACATTGTTGGCCTTTTTTCGCATTCACAAAGCTTGAGAGAGGACAAAGCATGAGAGATGTTTTTTTTACAACCAGGGTTTCTTCAGAAGCCGAAATGTCGGCTGATGAGAAGGATGATGTGGCTGATAACTCGTACGAAGATAGTTTCATAGATGATAGAACAAACCCTACGTCTAGTACTCAAGCTAACTCTGGCAAAGTTGACATGATGGCCATTTACAGGTATATATATATAGATAGATCATTGTGTACTGTATACCAAGCAAATCTTTGTTCTATCTAATTTGCAAGAACTGAAGCCTTTAAGAACTCCTTATGCAGACGTTCTTTGCTCAGCCAATCACCACTTCCAAGGAGGCTATTCGATTTACCCTCATCAAGCCCGAGTCCCGTCTCTGTTGGGCCCTTGACGATAATAAACGAGAACCAAAGCTCTTCAGACAGATCACTGTCTTCTTTAAGGACCCCGAGAACAAATTCAGAACCTTCGGACATAAACCTGAACATGACAAGCAAAGGAGATGATGTTTCGGGGGAACATGACACGACAGCAACAGAGACTCGAAAGAGGAAATTCGGCTTACATAATAACACGGGAAACGTCCCGATGATCAATCTAGAGGACAAGTTTGCTTCACTGGAACACTCTGAGACAGTTAGAGACAATGCCGATGCATTGGAAAATGGTGACGATGATGATGATGCATTCTATGAGACATTGGATTTCGATGCGGTGGAAGCACAGGCCACGCTGCTATTGAAACAGAGGTCAGAGGCAGAGGCAGAGGCCGAAGCCACTGTTTTACGTTCGCATTTGCGTTGTAATGATGTGGAGAAGGATAAGCCTTCTTTTGATCTGGGATTCTGGTGATTCTTTGTGGCTAAGAAAGATGGTTTAAGTTATTTTGTAAAGAGTGACAAGATGGTAACGTAGTGTGTAAGGTAGGGTTTTTTTCATGCATGCGATAAAATGGTCACAATATAAATCAAAAGAGGCCAACGATTGTTTTTTTTAGCATTACGCATAACCAAGAGTGTCTGAAATCGTACACGCGAATACGTTGGAATGTGAATTTTGGGCCAAATAGCGCTTGTTTATAAAATGTTGGGCCTTAAATGGGCTCCTAGGCGGTAAATGGGCTTTGCGTATAAAAGTGGCCTTTAAATGGGCCTAACTGTGAAGCCCATTCTATATTCGAACGGATGCATCCAAGTTGGAGATATTTGATAAAAGGGGTGTTTCCTTTTAACTTTCAAGGAAAAAGAACAAATAGCTTGTTTGATACATAGAATCTAATACTTTAATATTAGGCGGTATTTATGATATATAGAATTTAAATTATTGATAAATTAGTACTTCATTATCAAACTAAAATGATAAAAAAAGAGAGTATATTATGTATATGAAAATAAACCAGTGACCCGTGCAATTTAGAAATTTTATTTCCATCATATACAAATTTCCAGCATAAATTCCATGCAGTAAATATTTTATCATCTTAACATATTATAAAGTGTATATCTTGGTAGTAAAAAAAATAGCATAAATTATATAGCTTTATGGATAGGACACGAATCACATCAATATTCCAAAGTCCAAGGGTTTTCGTGATTCCAAAAAGAACTAAAAAACCTTAATGTTTTTGCTACCACTCAATGGATCATAAATTTTATCGTTATTGTAGGATCAGATTTTTTATAAATATATATATATATATATATATATATATTCATGCGGAAATTTATTTATTAATATTTTAAAAATTTTGTATATTTTAAATGAAATTTAATTCAGAGAAATAACTATCCTACCTGATGATTGAAATAGTCCAAATAATTTATAATTTACTTTACTTCAGAATTATAATTAATATATTTCAAAAAGTTTGAAAAAAACATCACGCACAAACGACAAAATAAAAAAAAAACAACAACAAAGGAAAGGGTGAGAAGGGTGACGTCAGCATCCTACCAACCCCTTATCTTTTCCAAATTTTCAATCTCCACTTTTTGCAGTGTTTATCCTTTTTCCTTTTGGCCTTCTCCACTCCCTCAATATCTTTTTATTATTTTTTAAAAAATATTTTTACGTTTGGGTGGTTTATAAACGGCTACAATAATAATAATAATAATAATAATTCACGGAATATCAAATAATTTTGCGTTTATTTCGTGAACTCCATTAATTTCACTTTATGTAAAAATAATTAATATTATATGTAATGAAAATTAAGGAAACTTTAATATTTGTGTGTGTGTTGAGCCTTGGGTGGTGGAGACAAGTAAATTGGTTAATGATGATTTATATTAAAGTCTTTAAAATCCGCTCCAAATTGCGGCGATAAGGTGAGGTGAGGGCTCTTTCTTATCTTATTTTATTTTATTTTAATTTTGGTTTAGGGCAAATATGCTTTGCTTCGCTCCTAGTTAATCTCGTTCTAGCCTTTGATCTTATGTTCACATTGTTAAAATACAGTAAATTAAAACCCATAAAATTGAATAATTATGATTATATCTGTCGCATAGACCATGTTGTCGTAGTTGACATACATATATATATTGGTGTTCAAAAAGTTAGATTATATTTCACTATAATTTTTTTATATTTGAACTTAATATAACTATATATATATATATGATGGTAATAAGATTCAAATATTAATATCTTCGAAGATTAAATTTCTGGAACGTAATCTTTTGATACTAGGAATAAATTCAAATATAATTTTCAAGTTATTAAATTAAAATATTGAAGATAAAACTTTTAGTCCAGACGTGGGTAGAACAGAAAACCGGCCGGCTCACCCCCAAACTCCACAGACAGTCCACACTGTCTTGATTCTTGGATTATCCCTTATAATAATAATAATAATAAACTTTTATACGCGTATAGTGAAGTATTTTAAAATAAATTTAAATTAAACGGCTAATGCATGAATCTACATCAAACTGGAGAATTCAAATTCAAAAATTTGTCAAAATAAATAAATAGATACCCAATTATAAAGTGTCTTAGACTTTAACAAAAAAAAAGATATTGGAAAACATTTTTTTCTTATAAATATGTTATTTATGGAAAACTGGCTGACAAGAGATGTATGAGAATAAGATGTATTGTGGCAAGTGGCAACCCGATCTAACAATGTGTTCACAAAATAAATAAATAAATGAATATATATATATATATGTATATATATATATATATATATATATCCCTTTCCATTTTTCTTGACACATCTATCATTCATCTCGTCTCCCTCATCTTCTGAAATCTTTTGAGAACAATTTTTGGATTATTATTCTCGATCTTTTGTCGTCAATATTAGCGATATATATAGTGTGTGTATATATGAGGTAGATACTGTATTTATATATGGGATGAGATATTTATTCACTAAATCAATGGAAGGCCTCCAAGGCACGAAAAGAGAATAAAAAAAAAAGGGATCCCACCAGAAACTATATTATTTATTTATTTATGGAAATCTAACGGTGGCAATAAAGGTGCTTATGATAAGTTTTTTTTCTCCCTAGTCCACCTCAAGTGAATTCCCATACGTAACATTTATCATTTCTCGCCTCATGTATTAATTTGATCATGAGATATCTAAAAATTCCCCCAAATCATCTTTTACCCTTTATTCAAATATCTGCAAAATCGATTTAAAGTGTATCAATCAAGCGAAATAATGTTGCTTTTAAAGATTTTATGAATGAATGTCTATAATATATATTCATATATACATGTGTGTGTGTGTATAATTTCAAAGTAGGGAAGGGCATTGATGAAGAAAATACAAGGGGTAGTTGCAAAGATGTATCTATCTATCTACCCAACACCAACCTTTGTCTTGTCTCCATCACCCTCTTCTTTCATCTCGAACTTAATTGGCAACTAATAAAACCGACCATTGCATTTGCTAGTAGTTGCTGCTACTATATCTGTATGTACATTAACGGTTTGCGTTTGCGTCTGTGAAAGTGAAGGGTCACGAGAACCGAAACGTTTGGGCAAGATCTCGGAGGATGTCTTCTGTACTATATATATAGACAGTATAGTGATATATATATATATATATATAATATACGGGGTTATACGTTGTCTCTATGTGCTATAATCCTAAACATTTGATAATAAATAGTTATAATAGCCTCTAATGATTTATTTCTCAAATCTCTATCATCTAATTTTTTTTTTTTGGATTTTCCATTGCATTATATACTCAATTTGTCAAGTGCGTGCAATTGTCATCTACGTATACTCCTAAGACTTCAAATCAAACTGCATGCAGCCACAAGAAAGACAACACGGTTTCTATTTATTGCTCTAAAGTATGAGGAAAATTTGACTTCTTTACCACCTTTTTCTTCTTCGTTTCAGTCACTCTCGGTCAGCTTTCTCGTCGTCTTAGACTTTTTTTTTTTAAAATCATTTTCCTATCTTAAACGTTAAATTATATTTTATAATTAGGGGAAAAAATGGCAAAACATGTATCATGGTGGAGACACGTAAATTTTGGTTATTTTATCGGGGTTTAATATTAAAATGTATAGAGATGAAATAGTATAATTGTAAAAAATTCTAATTATCCATATAAACAGAGAAATCTAAACCGAATAAAGAATAATGGTATATAATTTTTACTATGCGAATCTTTCATATTTTCTAGTAAAAAAATAGGTTACATTACGCACGACCTCTCATTGCACATTGGCTTGTGCGTGCATGCATGCACATGCGACATGTGAAATGTTTTAGCCAACTGCTTGATCATAAAACAGTCCACACTCGAATATATATCATACAAATGGCTTTACATTAGGTGATTGATGATCTATTAGTCTCTCATACAAGCTCTACATATATATTTTTTAATCGAAACAATGATCGTGATCGAGAAATCTTTAAACAATTGGTGTATTTACATAATTACATAATTATAAATTTACATAATCAGTATACATCCCTTTGGCATTGTACATTATGTTCTCCATGCATGTAAATATATAGTTACTAACCATGGAGAAATCGTCGGAATTTTGTTAGACTTTTCTGTGTTGGATCCAATTTTCATGTGTACGTGTGTACGTAAGTGTGCAAAGAGTTGTTGGCTGTCATGCATGCATGCATGCACGTGAATGTACAATTAAACCGCACCTAATTAATCCTAATCAGAGCATATAATGTGGGTGACACTATAAAATAGCATGTGATTATAAATTTAAATAATTGGAAAATATATAGGCAGCTCATATTAGTTATTATACCCACATGTTGGCCGACCTTCGTTAGACCCATCTTTAATATTTATGTAAATATTGAGATGCGTATCAATATTCCTAGCAAGTTCAATTTCTTTTTTGTCTAATTCTTCAGATTTCAACTAAATCCTCTCACAATTTGCCTATCAATGCTGACAAGATAGATGTGAAATGTGATTTGATCCAATTATATATTATTTAATTCGTTTTTATATATTCGAAAGGAAATATACATGTCTATTAGTATTTATTGTCCTCATGATTATATTTTTGTTAGGTTATATATGTTTGCCTGTTGTTTCGTGAATGCTTGTATATGGTGCATATATATTAAGGTTGTATCATATAATCTAATATTATATATTACATTATATTACCTAACTACTTACCGACGATTTCATAGGGAATTTTATAATGATTTAGCTTTTTTCATTACCGGAAAAGTGGGTATGATGTTTGGCTGGATTATACCTAAATCTCACATTCCCCCTACCATCCTATTCTTCCTCACATGATTTATCTTTACATTATTTATTCAATTATTTTTCTGCATCCCATTCCCCACCATTTTTTTTATATATAATTTCAAAAAATAGGGCTGTTTTTTAATCCAACCAGAATAATATCTTTATTGATAAATTTTTTTCACAATCTCATTATTGATATTGTATTATACTTATAATTTTATATTGTCTAAGTCCATTAATCTCTCCAAACATGTCACATGTCCTCTCCCTTTTTTTTATATTCTCTCTCCCCAATCAGTGGCCTCTTCAAATTCCTTTTCTTTTCCATCTCATCACCTTCCTTAGTTTAGAATTTTCTAATTTAGATTTTTAATTTTATAAAAATCATATCTAGTATGATAAAATTTATTCTACTTGAATTTATATTCAGTTTAATTTTTAAAATAACTATTTAAAAAATATTTTTTTATCATTTTAATTTTCGTTTCAATTAATTAGATCTTAAAAATTATATACAATTAAATTTTACGTAAAATTATATATATATATATATATATATATATCCTAATTAATAATTTTACTAATTCATTAAATGCTCGTCTTTTCTAGACCAAATATATGCTGCAATAAATAATAATTGTATGTTAGGCAAAAAGAAAGAAAAAGTCTTATGTATGTTAGTATGTTACATTTCGTGTGTCAACGTAAATGTACACACATACATACATACATACATACATACATACATACATACATACATACATACATACATACATACATACATACATACATACATACATACATACATACATACATACATACATACATACACAAATTAAATTAGATACACACTTTTTATTTGCATTCAAATGATTTCACATTCAAATCTGTAGATAAATAAAATCTCTAAAAAAAATCTGAATTTGTATTTTATGTGAAATTTCTGAACCAAATCCATCTCAGAACCTAAAATATTGCATCGACCACTGATTACGAATATAATAAACTATTTCTTTGGATATATAAACCTCTATATACAAATATAAAAAGTAACATATATATATATATAGAAAGTATTTGACTATTTGTTAAATCCATGTAACGGGAAAACGATGTCATGTCCGATTGATATCCATTGCACATGCACTCTCCCACTTGGTTCGGGAAGATCTTACTTTGTTAACATTGTTTTGACATTCGCAATGAATTGGCCAAGTTGGTAATATATTATAGTAAATATCATATATTAGTCAACTGAGATTCTAGAAGACATCACTAATTACCCTCAATTCTCTTAATTGTCTTATACCACTTTATTCGAATATATAGAGGCCAAGGTTTTTTTAAATAAAAATCCATAAGCTGCTCCTAAATTCCTAATCATCTACCTTTTACCATTTCATTTTCCAATCAAATAACATCATTATGACATTGATTAGCGGGAAACAACAGAAATTTCACTATGATAATATTTATACAACTATATATATATATATATATATTCTCTATCCAAAATTAGATGTGATTTTTTAAATTTTAATTTTAACATAAAATTTTAATTAGAAAGATAAATTATCAGAACAAAAAACAGTGTAAAATAATATATACACAAAGTAAAAATAATATAAAATTAAATACATATATTTATTTAATAAGATAAAAAAAATAATCAAATTACATGTTTACATATGCTTACATATTAGCACATTAACATCTGCAGTTAATTTGCTGCAAACTTATGACACATTCAGGTACAAATTTTAGCAAATTATGCTTCACTGTTTTTCTTTGTTCTTGCAAATCGATTGATTTGAATTTTTTTTTTTTTCATATTTTATCACCTATGGCAATGAAAAGACTAAAGATATGAACAGAAATTACAAAAAACGAAAACTTTTAAAATTTTCTATCCGTCTTCTGGGGAACCCATTTCGCCGTTTGGCGAATCCTACAAGGTTCACGAGAGCCCAGGTTACAGCACAGACATACTCCACGTGTCTCCGTCTCGCCGGTCTCCGGAGCCCACCACGGCTCCGAGTCGGCACCCGTGACCCGACCCGGCTCGCCCGACCGGGTCGACCGGGACCCTAGTGTGAGCTCCAGATTCAGCTCCTCGTGTCCGGAGTTGGTATTATAACTGTGATAACAGTCGGAGTTTTGCCGGATTTCCTCGTCTGTGGTCGTGCCGCTTGAGGCGGCTCCGTTGTCGGAGGAATATTCCGTTTTGGGTTTAACGGCGTTGAGATAGGGGAAGGTGGACGGGACGGCGGCGTTTTGGGGAGGAGCTGCCGGAGTTACCTGAGACGGCGGCGTCTTGGGGTCTGAGAGGGCGGCGGATTCGTTGATCGGATGGTGGGTCTGAGGGTCGATCCCGCGGTTGAGAAGCTTCCGCTTTATGTGAGTGTTCCAGTAATTCTTGATCTCGTTGTCTGTTCTCCCGGGTAATCTTCCCGCGATCAAAGACCACCTAAAATTCCCACCACAAAAAAGAAAACCCATGATGTTAGGAGATGAAATGGTTATCTGGTGTTGTTGTCTTTTTTTTTTCCGGGAAAAGTTGCAGACTTTCTCGGGAAACAAACAGAGGAGGGAAATTTACTTGTTTCCGAGTAAGCTGTGGAGCTTGATGATGAGTTCATCTTCTTCTTCGGTGAAATTTCCTCTCTTGAGATCGGGCCGAAGATAATTTATCCATCTCAACCTGCAACTCTTGCCGCAACGCAACAGCCCTGTTTTCCACGCAAAAACATCGACACTATCCATCAGACCCATGTTTTTTTCTTCTGTAAAATTACAAATAAAAACAGAAAACGAAGCGGCGGATTTCATCGAACCCAATAAGCAACGGAAACAAAAACCGGAACTTTTCATCAGAACAGGAACAAAAAACGAGAACCCAGAAACAGAGATCTCTATCTCTCTCTCTAGGTCTGATTCGGAGAAACTGTAATGAAGCCCAAGCTTTATTTTTGCGGAAGAAGAAACTGGAGAGAGGAGAAGGAAAACGGACCAGCGGATTTGGGAAGAGAACGCCAGCAGCCTTCGCCATGTTTACGGATGTAATCGATGAGACGCTGGTCTTCTTCTTTGGTCCATGCCCCTTTGTTCGTGTGGGCCTTTTCGCAGCAAGGCGACCTTCCCATGATGATGAAGCTCTCTCTCTCTGTGTCTATGTATACGTGTATATGTGTGTGTATAGGAGGAGTTCGTGGAGAGAGGGAGGAGGGGGAGAATATAAGGAGAGGAGGGAGGCAGGAGAGTAGGATCTGTGAGGGCGTATGAAAGGAGGGGACTTTGACCAAGTTGTTGCGTGTGACAGAGAGAGAGAGAGAGAGAGAGAGAGAGAGAGAGAGAGAGAGAGAGAGAGAGAGAGAGTGTGTGGGGATTTGGTAGGTAACCTTTTTTCTCTCTCCTCTTTCTATTTTCGTGTGTTAGATTTGATTTTGCTTTTTATTTTTCAAAGTTTTATATACAAAAAATAAAAGGATGGATAATTTATATATTTTTTCTTTGTTCTTTCCATTTTCTAAATTTTGAGTCGGTTAAAATGATAAATATTATCTGTATATATAAATGTATTGATATATACAGACCATGAAGATTTATACTTCATTTAGATTGCATAATTGTCTTCTCTATCTACATTTTCCGTGTACAGATATTTTGCTACAACAATTTGCATTTAAAGTAAATTCTTCATCTTTTTATGCCTTTTGCATTTTCGTTTGATTCTAATATTTGATTCGCGTTTCGCAGTTGAATATACTATCGATTAAAAACAAACAACCCATCAAATATTCGTTTTCCAATACATTGTTATATAATTAAGTATTGTTTAAATATATTTTAAACCAATTTTTTAGTTTTTATCTGCTGTAAAATTATTTTTTTTAAAAATTCAAGAAAATTTTCTTGTTTACGCAAATATTCTTTTTTAGTAATAATAAAAGGTAAATTAGGTAGACGGGGCAAGATTAATAAATGATCCTTTATTAGTTCTATTTCCATTTCGTGGTGGTGGGGCATGGTATGTTATGTTTATTTATTTATTTACCGTGTGTTAGATGATTAAAAAAGGATACGGGAATTCAAAACCATAGTGTTGATGATTTGCCAGTTTCTTACCTTGTTAGAGAAACCGGGGTCCAAGAGGGCTCTCCTACCATCTTTTGATGCCCCATACATCAATGCCTCTATTTTCTTTTTGTCATTTCTCCCAACCAAAATAAAATAAAATTCTAAGTCTGAAAAAGATGATTCAGTCACACACCATTAAGGCAGCTACCTTGTTAAGGCTCGACGACAAAGATAATATATAAATCTAAATCTTTTTAACAAACAAATGTAGGATGGTAAATAAAAAAAATATGGGTGTAAAAAATTGTCTCAATGTTAAGAAAAAAGAAAAAAAAAAGAATGTTATGTACATATAAATTCAGATATGAGAGGTAAAAGAATCTTTTTCTTTTTTTTTTATATTCTCAAACTCTTGAGAAGAAGAAGAGAGCAACTGGAAAAAGACGATGGATGATACAACATTAAAATACATGTATAGTGGGAGAGGGTGAGATTTACTAACACACTGTTCGTGTTGGTGATGACTTTCCAGGTGAGTTTTTTTTGGGCTGTCCTGTGTATTTATATGGTCGGCTCGGTTTGGGTCTCGGCCTCGGCCTCGGTCTTGGTCTCGGGTTCAGGTTCTTTGTACATACAATCGGGCATCGGGAACGTATAAAGTGACGAAGCGGGTTTTCTCAGTTCGATTCCCTTTGCGTCGCTGTGTCTGAGCATATCTTGCATTTGTTTCTTGAAGTAGTCCCATCTTTCAAAATCATCATCACCCAAACACCAATTGTTAGTTCATAAAAAAGCCATCAAAATCTTATCTTTACCATTCAAAAAGATACAACACTTAACATCAAAACTTATCAAATGGCGTTGAAGGAAAAGGGTTACCTGATATTGGGGATGTCTAAGAGCTGAACTAATTTTCGCTTGTCGGGTTTGACAGTCTTGGCGTGACCTTTGTAAAGGTAGCGACGGTGACCCATCAAGAAGTGAGGGAAGTTACCACCTTGGGTGGAAACAAACACTTCACTTTGGAGGCAGACCGTGTAATCAAGAGCAGCCAATCTTGATGAATGACCCTTCAATTTAATAACAAGTGTTAGTTTTAGATTTTAGAAATCGGGGCTCGGGTTATTTTCCTTTTGAAACAAGGATACCCTGTTTGATAGAAATCAACTCCATACTAGGTTCATACCGATACCGTAACCAATGGATGGAGACACTAAACCTAACACTTCGCATGCAGGGAGAGAGAGCTCATACATAGGTTATTGTACAATGTCACAATTTGATCCTCATGTTTGGTAAAAAAGAAAAAGGAATCATATCAATTCCCACAACCAATTGGTCAAACCTTCATGCTAAAACCCAAGAATGGAGGGAAAAGAGTCGCGCAAATTTGGAAATCAGCAACCGATCATGTATTTGACCGATGGGTGATCATAATGGTGTCTATGTTATATGGACACAGAAAAGGTCGAAGTTTGATTACCTTAAATGGAGCAAGTTCCTCCGGAGTAGCTAGAGTATCCTTTGTCTGGAGAAGAGGAAACATCTGCTTAAGAGGAGCCATGTATTTCTCTGCCTTGTAAATGTTTCCCGCAGCAACGTAAACCAAGGTGCTATTGTCAAAACCCATGCCCCTAAGCATCATTCCCACCTGCAGAGCAGACGTTTACACGATATTGCAATAAGGTAAAGTTCCTTATCTGTCATCAAGTTGCGGGTAAAGTCAGCAGGCTCAAATTTTAAGAAAACTTGGAGAGGGTCTGATACCTCCAGTGGGGCTAAAGGGCATTTTCCGTCTACACGGTTTACACCGGGCCTAATTACTCTGCCTCTTCTCCTGAATTTTCCTCTCCACCCTCTTTCTCGAGCCTTATCCATTTCTTGCTTGTCAGCCTCCCCAAAGTCATATTCACAACACGAGAATGCGACCATATCCTTCAACAGAGAAGAAAAATAAGTGCATGAGAAGAGGCAACAAGGAACTTGCAGTTGAAGAAATGTGGAGGGAGTGTGGATTTTAAACCGTTTCAAAGCGGAGATGAACAGAAACATATTTTCCTACGCTCTGAAAGCTCTTCTCGATCATCCTGTCGACCATTTTCTTTGCGAGCATCCTAATGGGCTCGGAGAATCTCAGTGCCTCAAAATTTGCTAGGCATCTAAGCCCTTGAATGTGTGCAGGAACTGCATGGGCTAGCCTGTTGGAGAAGGGTGCAACACGAACAGCCCTAAAGCGAGACACAAGATAACAGAACTGATAAACAATAACCAAATCTCATTCCTAGTTGATTTACAATCACAATACACCCCTTGAAAGAGAGCCCATAGTCTCGTAAGCTATCAAGCCATTTCATCTTGGATGAAGTAACAAAAAACACATCACGACCTTGGCACAAAATTTTAGTGAATATTTCATGATAAAAAAAATCAGCATGGGCAAAAGATGGTGAGGGGCATACCCCAGACGCAAAAGTTGTGGAAGCACCTTCTGGAGATAATATGCTGGACTTGACCAAGCCTTTAATCGCAAATTCATGATGCTGCTTATATTATAGTTGTAGCGCTCAAGTATGTCTTTGGGGAGCTCTTTCACCACATTCACATTATTTTTAAGAGAATCTATGAAGAAGTCTTCGTCAAATATATCTCCAAATTTGCTGCGGCAAGAAAAGGGAAAGCGGCACATGAATATGTATGTAATCCTGCTCTAGAGAAGCCAAAGCTTTGACCTTATTAACCCCTAAAAAGGCTAGCCTTCAGTCATCAGAACGATCATGGATAATGAAACTTTCAAACGCAGGACAAAAGCAAAACCAGCAATAACCTGGAATCACGCCATACACTGTTTAAATGAAAAATTGGGATGACAAGAGTTGCATTCAGCAGTCCAGCCACAGCAACTGCATCGCATATCTGTGTCAAAAAGAGGTACAATTATTCAACCATCCCTGCAGAATAATTAAAAAACGATGCTACGCAACTCTGATCACCCTTAGCGCACATACACGGTGCACAGATAAATGGACAGTGGATATTCGAGTCTCACAGAACAGACATACCGACAAACGCTGTTGATTCAAACCGCCGTTTGCTTCGATTATAAAAAAGCCATTAGAATTTGATCCTGCAAAGGCTCAAGGCTGACAAAGTTACATAAGCACGCACAGCACAGTTCCTTATTTCAAACTGAGCATCAACAGAGACGTAAAGAACTGGAACCTGATGTAGACACATTAGTGCTGATGCACGGCTTCCATATGCTTTGGACATTGGGATTCCATGCTGTCATCAACTGTATGATCAGAAATACTACGTCACCGAATGCTTATTTCCAATTTTTATCCTAAGATTGCACGAGCCGAAAACAACCGGAATGATCCAGAGAAATCCATGGTATAGCAAAGTGTTGTGGAGAATTTGATGATAGATTAACACAATATCATCAAAGGAACGACGGGTCCTAAACTTATACTTCAGCTACAACTCATGCCAAGAACACATTGAAGAAGATACGGATTCATTTATCTAGCTCTATCTATTTTAGAAAATGGAAACGAGGCGGAAAACATTACTGCATTGTGATGGGTTGCATTTATGTCGGCCTCCATCATCGGCCATAGCCGTTTGAAGACCTTAGGACTCCGGTACACCGATCCCGGCGGACCTCGTTTATAAATAATCTCAACACCATGCCCTAGATCGAGGACGGTGAATCCAAACGAGCCCATGAACAACAACATTCCGGCAATGTACAAAAGTGGCGCCAATAGAAGCACGCCTTTTCGTCTGAAAACCGCCGAAACCAGCACGAACACCAGTCTCTCCACCAATCCCTGCTTCCCGGACCTGTACACGCCGCCGCCGCCAGGGGAGCAGCATCCGCTTAGGCTCCCCCCGCGGCTATGGCGAATGCGAGGCGAGGAAGGCGGAGACGTCGGAGATCCGACGCTGACGCTGAGGGACCGGCCATTGCCGAGCCGGCTAAGGCCGTGCATGTCGAAACCGGTTCAGGGGACGATGCGGAGGTCCGAAAACCCTAGAAATGGAGGCTAGAAGATCCAGCGAGCTTCACATGAACAGAGCACGCTCGTAATAGATGAGAACGAAGCATTTCTGGCAAATTCTCTTGAGAAGTGGTATGGCTCCACCTGCCTGGTGATCCGCACACGTCGAATCAAATCAAATCAAATCAAATTGAAAAAAAATAAAGAAGAATAAACGAAGAGCTGGAGGGATTTTCCCGAGAAACAAACAGAAAGTGAAGCAAAGAGGAGGAAAGAGTGAAACTGACGAGTTCGAGAGGGAGAGAGAGAAGGGAGAGGAAGAAAGGATTGCGCGTCGTTTAGAGCAATTAACGTAATCACGTGGGTAAAGCAGTGGCTGTCGTTTCGCTTCGATCCAGAGTCGAGGCGTATTAAAGTGCCGCGTGGGCTGATTTCTCTTTCTTTCTATTTTACTTTCCATCTTTGGACTTTTAATTTAGCGAAATTTATATCTACAGTTGGTATTTTATTACTGAAAAATGCCTGATGTATTTTTGCCATTTTTCATTGATTGAGCCCTTCTTGGTAATTATTTTTTATTATTAGATGGTTATTGTATTTTAATTTCAAAATATAGATGGGTAGTTTTGAGGAAATTAAGTGGATGGGATTTACAAAAAGGAAAGAATTTTACGTCGTGGTCTTCTCATAATAGAAAATGTATCCGGTAATTAACATCCGGTTAACTAGTATTAATATGAAATTAAGAACATTAACTAAAGAAACAACAAAATCCCATAATTTCTAAAAGATAGATGGTTTTTTAAGAGTCGTAAATTAAACTTATCTTCTGTATTTTTTATTAAAGAAGTATTAATCGGTAAGATAATTTACAAAAAAAAAATTGTAATGGTACAACATTTTAATTTTTTACAAAAAATAAAATAAAATGCCATTCGCATCTAAAGATTGGTATTTTACTAAGATTATTACACAATAAGGTTTTCTCACATCTAAAACTATAGCATCTAATCTAAGTATTTATGGAATTACACCAAAGAAAATTTCTAAATTCCTTATTTTGAATGGGTCGATTTTTAATTTTTTATTCACTTTGTTTTTTTTGGAAAAGACAACGTTAAAAGTTTGGGTATGTCAGAACTTAGAATAAGGAACGCTTTTTGTTGGAAAGTGAAAAGGATCATCGTTTTTGTTTGAAAAAGGCTGTCACTTCACAAATCACAACCAATCTAAAAGAACATAATCACTAATATTATACTTACACACATGAAGCGGGGAAAAATGAACATTGCCAAGGAAAATTCATACATAATGAAGGATGGAAAAACACTTACAACATGACCAGTTTACAAGCAGTTGCTTCATGGGGGGCAGATTATGAAATGCATAACATGTTATGCTTCACATGAGGAATTCACTTACTCTGCAGGAAACATAACATCAGGATGTGCGGTCTGCCTGTGTCTGAACATAGATGACGGTGTAAACATAAATCCGGGGTTAAACTACGGTACATGGATATGAACTATCATAGTGCAGGTCGTTCTTCCTAGTTCGGATCGGTTAAACTAAGGTGAGGGAACGTTAAGGGGTTAGAAAAGATGAATGGATTGGGGGATTTCATGCTGTTTTTGGGGGTCTGGATTTGTAAAAATGTGAGGTGGGGATCCTCACTAATCAGCCCTCCATTTTTTCTTTTTGTATCTTTGCTCTGTATTGAATATGGAGGAGCAGTATACCTTCTTGGATTAGATAGACAAGGCTGCAACCTGGGACTCGAGTTCTCGGCTAGTGGACGTGTGATAGAGGTTGTACTGGTTCTGTTGCAGTATTTGCGGCTCTGGTTGCTGCTGCTGCTGCTGCTGCTGTTGAAGTCGCAAAAACCGAAGCTTTCCGATCTCTCTCTCTAGCAAATGCTGCTCCGCTGCATCATCCAGCAGGTTATCCAATGTCACATGCCCGAAGATGATCTCATTAAAAGCTTCTGGAGGGCATGGGATATAGGATACTTACTTTGTTTAAGCTTTTGGATTTCTGCTAAACTATCCAGACGCTGCTTCAGGGCTCTGTTTTCCATGCTCAGCATCATCAGCTGCTGATCCAAGTAGTGGATGGCTGTTGACATTTCAGATCCTTCAGCCTGCAAAGTGAAAAAAAACTTCAGAGTATAATTTTGGTATTTCGTGTTATCTAAAGCCTGTGTTACTGGTTTTCGGGCCTTACTTGTAGCACCTGAACGTTCCTTTCCAGCTCTGATATGTATTGGAGCCTCCTCAGACGTGCACGATGAGCATTTTGCCTGTTTTCAGTAATTTCAGAGATGGTGAGATATAAAAAAAGAGGAACCAATAGCATGATTAGTCTAAATTAAACTCAGTCACGCCACCCACATGTATACATAGTCACCAAAATTGAAACACCAGTCAGTTTGATATTCTATAGTCAGGCAAAGGGTGAAATGGCAAAAGTAAAAACGTGTAGCCATGGGAGATGAGGAAAAAGATGTCCGTTTTGGTTAAACCAAAGCCACATTAGTGGAGAAGAAGCAGCATTTGATAAGAACACAAACGTAATGCATATGCAGATTGAGAGAAAGAATCCATACTGTTTGGCACGCTTGGAATCATTATCCACTTTCACGGGAGCACCCTCTTTCAATTCACGAACTTGCCTTTGAACAGATTTAGGTGCCAATGTACCTATTTTGTTTACGGCACTGCATGAAGCAGATTTTTTAAGGTTAGCGCCATTCTTGTTAGGCAGTTGCCATCCTCTATCCTGGTGTTTGCCAGAAGAGTTAGGACGCCACACGTCATCATGACGATCAATGCTTTGAAACAGGCAAAAAGGTCCCCCAAAATGACTTCTCAACTGGGTTTCCTCTCCAAACGACATTGAGGCAAAATTCAAGAAAGTAGCAGTGTCACTAGCTGAACGCCTGTGGCCCTTGCTCATAATCGGTGACTCTGGTTCACTTAGAAGGTCATCAAGCCAAGCAGGTTGCTCATCTGCGAGAAGTTTATCTGGAGAAGAATGGTGGTGATTCACGCTATTCTCCATGGACTTGAAAAGGTCATGAGATTCTAGCGATGAGCCCGGGATATATTCAGAGGCAGAAGGAGAAATACATCGACTGGGATTTCTTGGGGGAAGTACTGATTGTTTCCCCATAAGGGCAAAACTTCCCACATTTGACAGACTGCCCGGATTTTCCATTCTCGCAACTGGAAGAAGAGCCTGTACGAAACAATGTGTGAAGAAACAAATTCATCGGTGATTCAATCATATGATTGATCAGTAAAAAGACAACAATAATCACTGTTTTCATTCAGGTTGTTCTCCATATATCCAGCATTCCAGTATCAAACAAATTTGGAATACCTTGGAAGATACCTTTTCCTTTAGCTCAGTTTCCTGAGAAAAAACCGGATTTGCTGCAATCTGTAGAATCGATATAATGGTCAGAATTCGCTTGATTTGTGGTGATTGAAACAGAGACTGGCAAGTTCTGAAATTGTGATCGCAATCATTACCCTAAAACCCCCTCTGAATGCTCATATATCTTCCTAACACTCGACTAAAACAATCGAATTGCTGCTAGGGTCTATATTTTCTTGTGTTTCTCGGCAGCCAAACAGGACCAAGGAACCTAACCGAGAAGATTTTCAAAATACGTTCCACCTACACTTCATCTAAGAATCCATAGATTGCATGAACAACTTATCTAACCCAATTCATTTCTCAATCAGACACGGTACCTGGCGCGTGAATAGCAAATAGCCGCCGAGAGAAGGATATCATCCGCCGCCGGCGATCCTTCCTCCTTGAGCGTCTCCGATCGTTCCTTCCTCCCCGCAGAATGCGGCAACAATGGTCCATCTCTCAAGCGTTATATAGGGGACGAAGACAGAATGAAGGCTGGCCTCCCTCCACTGCGTGGTTTCCGTGACGACAGCCGTTTTCGTCCTTTGTTTTATCTGGCGTCTCCGTTTCTTCTGCGTTTTCACGTAATATCTGCTTCGGTACGCAGCGCCGCACGTGATTCTGCCTCTTTTTCTGAATTGGGTAAAAACCCTTCTCAATGTTTAATATATTGCAGAATAGGCTGTAAAGTTTATAAAATTGCGAACAAAAGAACTATAAGTCAATAATCACTCCTTATAAATCTTACATTGATTCACCTTCACCCTCTTTCAATGTAATTGTAGTTATTCTTTACCATTTAGATTTAAGCTAATAGAATATTTCTCTCTTAAATATCTTAATTAAATAAATTTAGACATTATTTACTTTAAAATTAAATAAAAATGGTGAAAAGTACAATTGCAAGAAAAAAGAGCATATAAAATAAAATATATTTGATATATGATGTAATGAAAATTTTCTAGTAAATTTCATAAAATATCTAATCCAATGAACAAATTCACATAGTAAAACTTTAACAAAAAAAGTAATTTCGTACTCGTAAGAAATTATTGATTGGGAGGTTCATTTTGAACTTGTATTAAATACAATTTGTACTCCAAAATAAATTTTGATTTAAAAAATTCTATTTTTAAAAAACAAAAGATTATATATTTTTTCTGAAATTTGGTTCTATAAAAATTCAAATATAAACAAACTAATATAATTTAATTTATATAACATGATTATCTACAACAAAATTTTATCATAAAAAGCATCTTAAGAAAGAACAAATTTATTCTTATCTTATATTTTGAAATTAAAATTAAAATTTTTTCCCTTACACTCTTCTTTTCTATTCTCAAATGTATAAAATTATATTCATAATTTGTTAAACTTTTCATAATTTTAAAATAGAAGTATTCATTATTTATTTTATTTTATTCTATTAAACTGATATTAAATTCATAAATTTAAGATGATTCATTGACTACTTTTAATAATAGAAGTATTCAGTATTGATTGAGAAAGTCCTTGGCTCATTCAATGCAATGTAAGATGGATCAAATTTGAATTTGATAATGGAACCGAACAATAATACAAGTAAATTTTACCAAAAATAAAATAAAACAAGTATAAATTGAAGGCAGATAAATCGGAAACTAGCGGGGCCAAAATTAAAAGGATATAATTACGAGGAGGCAAACTGCAAAGCTTTTTCTACTGTATCGGAGATTCTTTTCCCAGCAGATTTTCGGGGAAGAGAAGAAATCTGAAAAAAAAAAATCGGCTTCTTAGCATTCTCTCGTTGTAGAGTCCAAAGAAATCTTCATCTTTGCTTCTTTCGAAATTTCGAATGATTCGAACCATCTCGAAATCCAAACTCTAGGGTTTTTCCGCGATCCAAATCGGAGCAAATGAACTCTCCTGCTTCGACGACGAATGCCGACAACTGCTTTCACAGAAACGGCGACGCCACCGTCGGCAATTGCCGAGATCTGACCTCGCACTTCTTGGAGCTCGCTCGGCTCTCCGCTTTGCCGGAGGCGGTGGAGGATGACGGCGAAGAATCGCCGACGGAGCTCAACACGATCAACAGCTCCGGCGGGTTTCTGGTCGTCTCTCCCGACAAGCTCTCCGTCAAGTACACGAGCGTTAACCTGCACGGGCACGATGTTGGTGTCGTTCAGGCTAATAAACCAGCTCCGTTCAAGCGGCTAGTCTACTACTTCGAGATTTATGTCAAGGATGCTGGAGCCAAAGGGCAGGTCGCGATTGGTTTCACTAAGGAGAACTTCAGAATGCGCAGACAGCCCGGGTATTGTTATCTTCTCTGGTCTTTCAAGTTGGGTCTGCGTTCTTGTAATTTTGTGGCTGGTTTATGCTTTGGGTTAGTGCAAAGGTTTAGTTTCTTGTGATGGGTCTTGTGTTTGCTGCTAAATTCAGTCGTGTTTTTCGTGCTTTATGGGAGTTGAGGTGAAAGCAAAGGGAAACTAGTGAGACTGGAATCTTGGAAGTTGGAAACTGTTAATCTATTCGGGTCTGATCAGGGTTTTAGCGAGAGACACTAGTTCAGGAGAATCCGGAATCAAAAGGACTTTGTGCTTGTTGGCCCTACTAGTGAAATCAGGGTGCTTGATGGATTGCGGGGAGGATGATTGTCCTGTTGAAGGAAATTATGCTGAGATGTTTCACTTCTTGTGGTGGCCTGTCATGTGTGCTGAGTGATTCTTGCACAGGCTATGCATTATCTTTTTGTTGTCTAAATAGGTATTCTGACTGTGCAAATCGGAATTCAGTTGCTGTTTGTCTTGGATTTCTTCTGTAAATGGTAGGTGGGAAGCGAACAGCTGTGGCTACCATGGAGATGATGGGCTTCTATACCGTGGACAGGGAAAGGGCGAAGCTTTTGGTCCAACTTACACTACTGGTGATACTGTTGGTGGTGGTATAAACTATGCTTCACAGGAATTCTTTTTCACGTAAGGCAGAAGTGTTTCATATGTATTGCTAGTTGAACTCGTCCCATGATTAATCAAAACACAGGCTAAGATTAACTCCATTTCATGTCAAATTTCTAATTCTCTCTGTTAGCAACTCCTGTGTCTGTTTACCTGTTGACACCTTTGATAACTTCTTTGATGACAGTAAAAATGGGGCTGTGGTAGGGACAGTGACCAAAGACATTAAAGGTCTTCTATATCCTACAGTAGCTGTACATAGCCAAAACGAGGAGTATGTTTAGTTTTCTCTTTTGCTGATATGCATCTCTAATGTTAGCTTTCCTGCATGTGAACTGCATGATATCACAAACTTGTTGTGTTTGTTCTCAATCTTGCCAGGGTTTATGTCAATTTCGGGCAAAAGAAGTTTGCTTTTGAACTAAAGGTGAGAGAAAATTTCTCCATCATCGTGTTCTCCATATTTGCTACCGGTGTAAAGATATTGCTCATGGGGTTTTTAACATGGAGTGGAGCAATAATACAAATTTATGTATTGTTCCCTTTTGTTTGAACTATTGACCCTAGGATTTTCTGTTTAAATCTTTTGTATGAAAATTTAGGTAAAATGTGGCAATTGGCAGCATTTCTTCCTCTTTTGTCGTTTCTATTAGGTGGTTAATTTGAAAGTAAGTTCCCTCAAAGATATGTATATGTCTTGGCTGTGATGTTGAGTTCATTTTGTTGTTTCAGGATTATGAAGCAGTAGAGAGGAATAAGCAACAAATGGCAATTGAAAAGATATCCATACCTACAAACATGAGTTATGGGTGAGTATACTTTTCTCCTGCAGTAATAAAGAATTCTTAACTAATTTACTGCCTGTCTTATCAAGATTTTTCTTTGTGCGTGATTTCGTTATCAGGCTCATACGCTCCTACTTGCTTCATTATGGGTATGAGGACACACTCAATGCTTTTGACTTGGCTACCAAAAGTACAGTTCCTCCTATCTACTTAGCGCAAGAAAATGGCGTTGATGAGCATGATGTATCATACTCATTGAATGACAGAAAGATTCTTAGACAGGTATTGTTTTTTTTTCCGATCGTGCTTAGAGCCATACAGTCAATTGTCTAACATAGAAGACTTGGTGTTCCTAAGCATTATGACTCTGAGTATCTGGTCCCGATTCAATAGGTAAACTTCATTACTGCAACTCTCCTATAATTTTGCCTTACCCAAAGTTTGGTTGATAAAAGCTTATCAGGAAGGGTGAGATTGATACTGCTCTAGCTAAACTCCGGGAAGGCTATCCCCAAATTGTACAGGTGGACCGTCTTTTCTCTAGTCATATTATTTTGATTCATATAGTTAATATCACCATGATTCGCGGGGTTTACGTTACATATCAAGTCTTAAACAGCTGTGCTTTCTGCAGGATGATAAATCAGTGATTTGCTTCCTCCTCCACTGTCAAAAGTTTATCGAATTAGTACGGGTACGCACTTCATTCCTCGTTCATCTAACCTTTCCATGTTTTAAATTACTTCAGTATTATATTTTTAAAATGAAGAAGCTCTATGGATTCTGTCTTACTGTACAAAAAATGAATTGCTTGAATTGAATTACTTGACCATATTGTTGATCTTGGATGTTAACCTCGAACTGAGCAAGAAGAATGGAAGAGAACCCATCTTATGTGAAGCATAAAGTCTAATCATTGATTAAAAAAAAACTTATGATGCACGAATTACAATTCCATAACACATTCCATTCCATTGTCTCTCTGGGAATTCATTTGCATTTTAGCTGCCATTACAGCGAGATTATGCCTCTAGCTATAGTTTATGGAAATATACGATATATATGCAGGTTGGAGCGCTTGAAGAAGCAGTCAAGTATGGGAGACTCGAATTAGCAAAGTTCCTTGGAGTCACCGGGTTTCAAGATATAGTTCAGGTACCATTGCTAATAATATTACTTCGATTCTAATGGTACTCAGTTGAAGTAAAAACTAATACTACTTTCACGTCCATTTGTGTTCAGGATTGTGTTGCTCTGCTAGCGTACGAGCATCCGCAGGAATCGTCTCTCGGGTACCTTTTAGAAGACTCGCGGCGGGAGCTGGTAGCCGACGCCGTGAATGCGGCGGTTCTGTCCACGAACCCGAACAAGAGCAGCCACTACTTGCATTCGCGTCTTGAGAGACTGATGCGGCAGCTCACCGCCTGCTGTCTGGAACGGCGGTCTCTGAACGGGAACCAGGGCGAAGCTTTCCGGCTTCACCAGGTCCTAAACAACAGTTACAAGAATGCGAAAGCCGATCTTTGAAATTGACGGGTTCGGAACCGTTGTTTTCATCGTTTCTCCATTGTGAATACGTGCGATATTTTCTTTGTTTCTTTTTTTCTCAGTTCCGCGGAAGACGTTTTGGGTGTTGGAAAATGTTGTGGACTTAAAATTCTTATTTTGTTCCCGAAAGGGTAGGGGTGTGGCGTGGACTGACATCTGATATTTTCAAGCAACTTGACCTCGGTTTCGCCCTTTCGGATCTCAAGGTCAATAGGTCTCGGTCTCGTTAAGGCTCGGTATCCGCGCTCTGTGAGGTGTGGTGAGGATTCAGGTATCTGATTGGCGCGGGGTGAGATGGCTTACAGCGACGCAGTCCTTAGACTCGCAATGTGAGTCGCGTCTAACAATGTAAGTTGAATCAATCCGACCTTTTATAAAAAAAAAAAGCTCTTGACAACCTTGGCCTCGTGCCTCTGTAAGTCTCACCCTCGCGACGATGCCCTCCTCAACCTTGGAACGAGAACTTGAACCCGAACCCGAGATTTGAGTTTCTATCCACATGTCACCTGAGTTTATGCTCGGCTACATAGGTGCACTTGCGTTTCGGATACCCACAAATTAACCAATTTCGGGTTAAATCGTCCACCCAATTATAGGGTGTGAAGTCTGCCATGAGAACCAAAGAACCGGTGTCTAATCCGGTCTGGTCACCGGTTTAGTGGCCAAAGAGTAGCGGTCTTATTGGGCCTCGGTTCTTGTTTGGGCCCTATCTTACTCGTAGAATCATACGATCCAAAACGCCATCGTTTTGAGCAAGTGGCGTCGTTTACAATGATGTGATGTGAGAGTAGTACAATGTAACGATAATCGTATATAGTTATAAATCAATCAAATTCAATCCGCATCCGATGCATTACCACAGGTATCATAAATAATTAAATATTGATATGATATTGTAATCAGTTAAGATTTCTTCCCCTCAAAATATGCATATTATTTCCTGTCCCGGCTAATTAAATAAAACAGTGTCTTTTACCATTACATCTGTTCACACAAGGAGGTTCCAAAAAACAATCAAGCATCATGAGAAATCTTTCGTTGCTGATTTTCTTCACTCTGAGCCTTCTCATAGTTATTGGTAAGCTTTCTCCCATTTCTCCATCAATCCTCTCATTTCTGTTTGTTTAAACTTAATATAACTATTAGATAGGCATAATTTTTTTTAAAAAAAAAATACAGAGCCAATGTAAAAATAATTACAGAAACCTAAAAGTATTTTATTGTGCGATTTTCTTTCTTTTGGTGGTAAATTTTGGGTGCAAAAATAATGGCAGGGGGGGGAGGGCAAAAATAAGGGCAGGAGGAGAAGCCAAGGGGGAGAGGATAAACATGGGAAGCTGCCACAAGTTCATAGGGAAGGGGCCATGCAAAGTCAACGAATGCCATAAAAACTGCGTCGATGCGTACGGAGTTGGCTCTCATGGCTTCTGCTACTCCGTCTCCTCTCCTGACGACACCTGCGTCTGCCGCGTTCCCAACTGCTAAATCTCCCTTCTTGTACTAAATAAATAATGCTCTATTATTATACTATAGATAAAATATTTATTGCAAGATTTTAATAATTTCATTACCAACTTATTATTCACGTGCAGAGTAATTTCGAATCCTTTTATAATTTGAAAAGAGAATAAATTATATTCTCCATCACACTATCTATCTTAAATGATTGGTTTTGGATTCTGATTTACGATCTAATTTCATTGATCATCTATTTTCTTTTGATTTCACAACACTTTATATATTACTTTGTTTTGGGGTTTTCACATATTTACATCTTTTGTTTCTATTACAAAAATATCTTTTTTTATAAAGAAAATGTGGTTGTACACTGATTACGGATAATTTTAATTTTTTTATTCATTTTTTAATATATGTTTAAAATTTTGTAATGAATATTATATATAAAAATAGAGATACCAATGTTTTCAATTAAGTATTTGAAAAAATATTTATACTTGTAAGGTTTAAAGTTTCAACAAGGGAGACCAAACAAACGATATGATTACAACCTGGAAAGATTTAGGAGGAAGGACCCCTTTTTATTTATTTATTTAGAAAATAAACTAACAATACCATCAAACCAGATCGCGTTGAGCACACGAGAAACGCAAACGCGACCAAACCACTATGATCGCGTTGACCACACAAGAAACGCAAACGCTGACCAACACACAAAACGCAGAACCCAAACAAAGGGCGTTTTCAGAACGCTCCGCAGCTCACCATCACATCATCATCATCATCATCATCATGGAGCCGTGAGACCTACACATCGCAAACGCAAACGCGTAAAAAAACGGTAGCGTTTCGTTGCACTATATAAATAAAGGGTACCGTATTACTTACTCCCACACTTGAAACCGTGGGGAACTCGCCGGCCGCAGCTTCGGATAACGCCGACAACGTAGTTAACGTCGATCAGGGCAGCCATTTGCGGTGTGACAATCGGACAAACGCATCTCGTGGGCGTCTTCCTCAGTCTATCGCAGCATTCGGCGTTTGGCGTCAAACGCAACAGCAAACGCTTGCACGCGTTCACCAGCACCCTCCTCTGCGCTCTGCAGTAGCTTTCCCCCGCCACGTAATCGAGGGTAAATCCGGAAATCAACACTAACACGATCAATGCCTTCAACGCGTCTCTCTTCTCCTTCTCCATCTTCCTCTCCGCTCGTTGACTCCAAGAATAAGAGCCGACGCTGCTCTTATAGAGGTGTGCTGACGAACTTGCCCCTGGCTTTCGCAGTAATTACAGACTCGGTATCTTCACGATGAGTCCAAATGTATAGTATATTAAATGGGTTTGTGTACGATTAATCGTGGTCATATAGAAAATTTATTATTTTATTCGTTAGTCCACGCGGAAATGTCGTTTTCATATTTATAAAACTAGGTTATATTGTACTTATAGAATTAAATTAAGCATTGTATGATATGAACCATTAAAGTTTTAGGCTTTTGCCAAAAAAAAAAATGTAAGGCGCACATATCGAATTTCTTTCAACCACATCAAAATTCATCTTTTAAGTTACACCCAAATACTATATATATATATATATATACGTTATATAGTTTTTGACTAATATAATTTATATTCTTTAAAAAATAATTTAAAGCAATAGAGGTTGAAGTATTTTAACTATTTTAGCGCAGGTTGAGGTTCTACCATAAATTTCGTCGCCCGCTTAACCTAGATGGTGGTATATGTACCATGCAACTTGTTTAAGTTACAATATCCTTTGCTTATTCATCTTAAAAATAAAAGACGAAGTGTATATATATATATATAATATGTACAATATCACTAAAATAAAATTTGATTATTTTAACTAAATTATATAAAATCAATATTAACTTTCGTAATTGTAATATCAATATTTTTGGTGATACATATTGACCGCATTGAAAGCAGTCGACACGTCTTTGAAAGGAGGGGGCCTAATTAGTAATTCTTGTACCGTATCACTTCCGGCGATTCCATAGGGACCAACCGCCTTTTTCTTATGTCTATAAGTCAACTTTTTTTTACTTAGGGTCGTCTGTCCGCTCATAAAAATTTGTCTTCCGGTTTAACGGTTTAGAGTCGAAGGTGTAGTGAACCACTATAAATTAAAAAAAAAATATCATTTAAGGAAAAACATATTGTAATAAAATCAAATTAATTGTTATATATATATATATATATATATCCAATTTCTATTGGATACACGCCAATGAGACTATCCAAAACTTAGATAAAATGGGTATCATCCTATATTATTGGAATATGTTTTTTTTATATATATTATATCAAATGATTTGTTCTATATTGTCCAAAACGAACAGAATCCAATCAACTAACATTCAGAAATAGAAAACACACCTTTTAATATTGATGGTAGATAGACTAACTAACAAATGACACAACGAACACAAATGGAAGCACAACTAATAACGGCCAAATATTCGAAAGCTCCTTTCATTAAGCCCATATATATATATATATATATGTATTACATGATAGTAATTTGTAGAAAAGTTTATATCATGTTCCAATTCGTACTGTTGGCACGGTAGCGACATAAAACGGATTGGTTCGACCATACTCAACTCGAATCGGTCCAAATCAATTCGTTTTGAGTCTGGATTGTGGCCCGTTTTTACTGAGGCAAAAAAAATATTGATTCAACTCTAGTCGTCCTATTTTGCGAATCAAATAAAAATAAAAATAATACAACAAATATAAAAAAAAATATTAAATTTTTTTAAAACGATTCTATCCCGAAGGCAGTTTGTAACTCAGCTTTCAACGAATTGACTCATTCGGTTTATTTTTTTAAATCCATCTAAAAACATATGGGTTAACTCACGCGATAGATATCCATTTTAACCAGTGATATAAAACGGATCGGTTTATATCAAATCGGGTCAGTCCGTTTCGAGACATATCATTTTTTAACCCATCTCGTTAAACCCGTTTTTATTCGGGTCAAAAAACTCATAGTTCAATTCAAGTCGCTCTAGTTCGCGATGCAGTTTGCGAATCAAATAAAAATAAAAATATCAAATTTAATTAAAAAATATTAAAATAATAATTTAAATAATTATTATTATATTTAAAAATAATAAAAAAATAATTTAAATTTGATAAATCTTTTAACATAATTAAAAAAATATTACAAAATAAAAATAATTTTTTTTGGCTCCCCAACCGGCTTGGGGTTTGTCGAACTGACTCGCGATGATTCGTGACGAGTTGGTTCGTTCGGTCCATTTTTTTTCTCAGATTTTCTAAATCTAGATCAAAAAAATATAGACGGATTCGCGAGCTCCCTCCTGAGATGAACTCGTTTTGACATCCCTAATTTTAACACACAGCTATGGCACGGCGACACCCATTGCGTGTGGCTAGAGATTAGAATGGTCCATGCACTAAACTTGTCCCAGAATATACCACAGAATATTCTCTATTATATATATATATATATATTATATGTATAGGTCGACCAATTTATTGATTATTGTTGTTAGGAAGCATATCCGCAGTAACCATAGAACGATCTCAAGGTAATGATTGATGTTTTTAGCCCTAAAAGGACATGAAATGGAAATGCACGAAACATACAATAAAACATCTCCTTGCATTATTTAAGCTCTCGTTCAAGGTATTAAAGAATATATTTTATTGAATAAAAAAATTTACAGCAACGTTTTATATGTAATCTAAAAGGTCACTTGGGTTCCATAGATGCAGATACAATGATATATATATATATATATATATGTATGTATGTATATTTATATTATCATATGAGATCGCATATGAGAAAAATATTTCCAAGCAAACCCTATTATTGTTCTTCCTTGGGTCTGCATGTGCACCTCTTCTGATGCTCCGTCAACTCCTGAAGGAATATACGTGAAACGTTTTGTGTTATAATATATGGTATGACTTGAAATGGAGGCATTAAGATTTGATATCCGTTTATAGGACCTTTTGATAAACGGTCCAAAGTCGGATATAAATATCGTAACATTTGCAACTTGGGGTAAATTTATTACAACCTAATTGCATAATGGTGTTATTTTAAGGAAGAAATCAAAAGCTTGTGTTGGTAGTGACACACACACACACGCACACATGTATATATAAATACACATGATAATACCTGGATCTGCCTTTGAAGAGACTTCACGTACTCCACGGCCTCTTCTAACATATCGGCAGTGTTGGTTTGCTGCAAGATTACAAGTAAACCCGAGTTTCTACATCGATATCGAATACTACTTCCGAGATGTCTGGAATGCATTATAAACAATACAGAACAGAATTTAAGAAAACTCATATAGGATATACACAATGTGCTGAGCAAAATCCTCTGAAAATGTCCATGAACTTCAATCAAATATATGTCAAATGGACCAAACCGGGTCGGTTATGGATTATATCTGCTACTACCAATCCAATACACAACAGTTTCAAAACTGCCCATGTGTTTTGATTCTTGAAAATCAGCAGCTCAGCCGAAAAAATGATACCATATGTTATAAATTCGGTACTCGTGGACATCATTAGTACATTCTCCTATTGATTATCCTTCAAGCCTAAGCTTACTAAACCAAACTTCCGTTGTACTCCAATCGTATATGAAATGATCGTCGACCCAAAACTAATATCAAACCCGGGCTAATAGCTGAAACAGGATTACCTTATCCATGTTAGGGACAAGCTCTTGTAGTTTCCTTATCCGATCACTTATCCTCGTTCTTCGAACCTTACCCAAAAAAAAAACATGCCCAATGTATTCGAGACGAGGAATGAAACGAAATTTCCAGAAGCACCAAACTTCAAGTTACATTACATATATATACAGATCGATGAATCGAAAAGGATCTTTTACCCTTTCAGCTATGCTACGAGGATGAGTTGCACAGCCACGTTTTGCACGAACCCTACAAGGCACCGATTCCTCCAGAAGCTTTTCCATGTTCATATCCGATACCCCGACCGGAACTTGCCCACTGCTCTGCTCTCCTTTCTACTCGTAGAAAATCGAAAAACAGAATCAACCAACTCTCTCTATACAAAACCCAGAAACGTGTCTGGTACGCTCATATCATTGAACCCATGTATGTATCATGAAATTTCCAAGTGTAACAAAGGGAGACATGATACATAAGTACTTAAGTGATTGGGGTCTTTTATCTACATGTCGACTTTGCATCGTTGTTCATATCTTTTCCGACATATACCGATTGAAGCATTATGCAGTTGTTTACAGCTACAGGAAACTGCAACTTGCAGAACTTTGTTATTAAAACAAAATGCAAGTTGTCAACTTGATTAACCTTGAAGGTCCATTTTAAGACAAGACTGCTCTTTTCTCCGTATCACTGTTGTCTCCCCGAACCTTAATCTATGAGTCAAGCATTTTGACTGTAATTTCAAACAACTAGACAGTGAAAACTGAAGAAACCCTTATTCAGTTCGATTAGGACTTGCTACAGTTGACCCCAAACTTAGAAATGATCTATAAGTGGCTGGGGATTCTTAAAACAAATTTCAGAAATTGCACAAATTCAGAAAAAGGCCGTACCATCGGAGAAGCAAACTCAGGAGATGATGAGAAGTGGCCTTCCATTTCCCTCGGAGCCTTACTCGACGGCGAAACGTCGACGTTGTCCGATAAGTAGTCGTAATTGGCCGGAATCCCGAAGTTGGAGAAATACCCATCGGACCCAACACCGGAGCCAATCAGAAAATCCGCCGGAGAACTGTTCTGCCGGTGAAACCCAGCCTGTTGGTACAATCCCTGCTCCGTCGGACTCGGGAACGCGAACGTGTTCCGACTCGTCGTCGCTCCCTGCTGTAAGCCGGGTGAGTTTCCAGTGAGTAACTCGGTCAGGCCAAGGTTGGGTCTCAAAGCATCTTCTTCGTCTTCCTCAAGCAGGGCTTCGAGCCAAGTCGCCGGAGCTGAACGGATCCGAGACAGCCCACCACCGCGAGGCCCCTCCCCTCCTCCTCCTCCTCCTCCCCCTTCTCCCCCTCCGCCGCCGGAGCTGCGACTGCCGACAGGAGTAGATTGCATCTGCTTTTTCACCGGCGACTGGCTCAGTCGGTAATTTTCCGCTTTTCTCGTTTTTCAGTGGAGACAATAAACGTATCCCTCTTTTTTACATTTTTTTTCTCTCACTCTCTCACTCTCTCTCTATTTTATTTTTAATTTTTTTAATTTAACAACAGACAATATTATTCTCACGTATTTCTCTAGAAAAAAACCTTACCATGCATCACCAGAGTAATACCAACCGTTGGATTAACATATTCTTCAGTCAGACTAAGATCAACGGTTAAAAAAGTGCTGGCATCGTGCGGCGGATGACAGAGAAGCAGACAGAGGTTAACGTCATTGTTTTTATTTTTTAATGGATTTGATTTGAGTACATTAAAAAAAAGGGTTATGTTTTGGTCACTCGCGATCGAAGCGCGTGTGTTTCACTTCCCGGCGACAAACGATAAGACAGACCGCTTTCAGTTATTGGTCGTGTTCGAAAATGTGACCTTTTTTTGTTGCTTAGCCAAACAGAGCGAGAGGATTTTTCAAGTCGGAACCGAACATTTCTGAATATTTTTATACATTAATTAGCTTATTATTACAATTTCAATTAAATTCAAAATTAATTTATAAGTTACAGATCTATAAAATATTAAAACTTTTTTCCCGTAATAACAGAATGTTTGTATTTCCTCCACGTAGAAATTTCGTTGTTTACGTATTTTAACTTAAAATTGTAAAAGCTAATCACATGTCATACTGTATTTTATTTTTCAACGAAAATACAGTGTTATATTCATGAAATGATATGTGTATTCAGGTCGGACCACCAAACTTTGAAAGAATTTTGGACCGATATGGATATTATTTTATTTTATTTATCTTTTTTCTTACTATTTTTTGTCACCTTTTTTACGTATAAAGATTAAAAATTAGATTCAGTCCTTTTTTGCTTACATAATCACGCACGTGGGCTCCGCATATATCGGATTTAGCTGGATTCCAACTCATCACGTTAATAAATTTCTTATAGTTTTCTTAAATAAATTTATTAAATGTGTTTAAAAGCCATGTGTGGCCCAAAAAGCCCATAAGCTAATGGAGCTGAGGCTTTTGAATGGCTCAAGGGTGCCTAGATAAATGGACCTATACTGAATCTCAGATAACGCAAGCCCATTGGGCTTCATAAAAATATAAAATCAAAAGAAATACATTTGGAATGTGAAATGTGTCACAAGGGTAGATTTGGTATTCCGATTTGATTTAGAATTAAATTAATTAAAATTCAAATCATAAAATAAACTGAAAATGAGAGTAAAATCCGATTTTTGGAAGAAAAAAGTATTTTTAATTAAAAAATTGAATGAAAATCGGGTAACATGGATATAGAAAAACAGAACTAAATCCTAAATATACTGCCTAATTGTATGGATTAGGATTGATGATTTTAATAGTAGTTATTAATCACTGATCAGAAATATACACTCTAAAGTCTAAACAGCAATATGATTCTGTTGCTTAAATCAGGATCCAATTGACAATCACGATATTAGCGGTTAAACGAATCTCGACATTTTAAAAAATAAAAAAGAAAGTCACGTGACGTGACGAGGGTCTGAGTTGGTATAAAATAAAAAAATAATAGTCTTCCGGTACTCATCAAAGCTGCTCTGTGGTACCGAAAAAGACGAGGACGACAGCGATTTCTCCGATCGCTCGAGCCATGAATATCGCCGTCTCCTCCACGCGCCTTCGATTCTCGTCTCACGCGCCGTCTTCATGTTGACCGCTGCCTCCTGGCTTCGAACGCGGCGGAGCCGCCTCGTCTTCTTCATCATCTGCTCTCCTCTTCTCCTCCCTCTCCTCTGCGCCTCTGTCCCTCTGATCTGCGCCGCCGAGATCTTTTCCCGCTTCCGCCTCTTTCGTCGCCGATCGAGGACCGGGAAATCATCCTCCTCCGCCGTATTCCTTTCCGCCGCCACCGATGAAGACGACGGACGGCTGCGGCGGGGCGGGGGAGGATGCGGATGCGGAGGAGGGGAAGAAGAAGAAGAAGCCGGTTTGCTCCAGAGATACTTGGAGGATCAGTTGCTGCTCGTCAGATCCGTCTACGATTGCGGCGAAGATGACACCGAAGAAGAAGACGTCGACGACGGCGACGGGCGATATCGCGATCCGGCGGTGCGAGGAAGGATGCGGATGCGGAGGAGGGGAAGAAGAAGAAGAAGCCGGTTTGCTCCAGAGATACTTGGAGGATCAGTTGCTGCTCGTCAGATCCGTCTACGATTGCGGCGAAGATGACACCGAAGAAGAAGACGTCGACGACGGCGACGGGCGATATCGCGATCCTGATCGAATTAGGGTTCCGTTTCTGTCTTGAACTCGCCATAGTTTTAAATTATCGGTAGATGAAAAATGTTTCATATGGTTCCGACCGATCAAAATCTTCCAAGTCCTCCTCCTTAGCTTCGTCTTTTTCCGTACAAATCCATCATCAGTAATCATCCGATTAATATTTATACTATTGTTGTTTATATCATCTGAAATTCGACGTATTTTTCATTCGCATTTTCTTAATATTCGAACTCCCCTTTTCTTCTGAGCTCTTCATCGTCGTCGAACTAATTTTAAACAATATTCACGGTATAACTCTATAACAATGATGATTAATAATTTCAAATATCCGACAGCACCATATCTTATGATTTTGTCGCCGAGTGATGAACCACGATCTCATGTCGCCATCATCCCATAGATCCCCGCAGATCTTTTGCTACCAGGAAGTTACCAAAATCTCTCCTTTAACCGTATCTGCAAATTACCCGGGAGTTCAAGATTTAGTTCGCCAGTGAAAACGCATACATGTAATATTATGAAATGTTAGTCAGAGAAGTACTATAATTCAATAATGGTATAATAGATTGACCAATTTGATTAATAACAAAAAAGTCAAATCAAATTGGGAATGAATAATAAATGGTGGTAATTGAATAGAATTTAATACAAAAGTAGAATGGTCATAATTTTTAATTTTTTTATAAAATTAGTATATCAAACTCCAATTGAACATAAATGTAACATTTTTATCGAAAACAACCAATTCTTTAATAGATTATGTTTATCCACAAAAAATCAATTATAAAATCGAAAAATGGAATGATGACATCCTTAATATCTGCAAAGATAAAATCAAAAGAGATACATTTGGAATATGAATGTGCCATGACATGATGAATGATGATGGAGGGTTAGGTCATTGGCAAAGATTAAAAAAAATATTTAGGACAAGAAAATAAATCAAATAGAGTTGGAACAAAACAAAGCACCAAACATAATATGACGATGGATCGCATTGCACACAAAAGTAACGACACCGAAGCCCAAAGACAAAATGCTCAAAAGAACTTACAAAAACAAAAAGGTCTCTTGATCTCTTCTTCTTTTGTCTGCTCTCTGTTCCTACTCGCTCAAAGGTTTCACCTTGAACCTGTAAACAAGCTTCTTCTTCTTTGCAGTCGGGTTATCAATGGTGAGCAAGATCTTGCCCAATTCTCCGACTTTGAAGCTCTGTGACACAACTGGTTCATCCTCCGAAGACATCTTCCTAGGTTTCTGAATTATCACTGTGTACGCCTCTCTGTTCTCTGGTAGAAACTCTGCTCCGTATGTTACCTCCCATCCCACGACCCGTAGCTCCCACACGATCGTGCATTTCTGCGAGAAAAATGATTCACGATGAACGACGGCAACGGACCAAATACGCGAAATCTCGTGCTTTCGTACACAAATGGAACTTAATATCTGACACTGACATGGATGGATACGAGTTTGATAATTTGGTTGCATTTGTATCTATATTGAAAAAGATCAAACGCAAGAAGCTCACCTCGTATATGATGATCTCCACGGTCTGTTTGGTCGTTGGTTTGATGGTAATCTCGGTGGCGGTATCGTCCCTGGTGAATTCCGAGCCGCAATCGCAGTTATCAACGCTTAGACCGCCGTACTGAATCGGGACTTGTTCGGGTGAAATATATCTGAATCAACCATTTTAGGACAGGCAAAAAAGTTTCCAACTTTAGTTTTCGAGCAGCAAAAATTAGGAGAACTAAGGACCGAAAATTCTCAGACATTAATACCCAAAGCTTTACAGACAGAAGTTGTGCTACTTACTTGAAAAGGGTTTCCGCGGATCTTGAAGGACCTGCAAACACAAGCTTGCTCTTTGATCTTTGTGTCATGAATGGGCTGATCATCTTATAAAATGCGAGATACCACCATGGAACGTTGATGAATATCTGGTGATAGAAAAACAGCGAAATGATCAGCTCTAAACGACCGAAATTCTTGATCTAGACAATCAATCTTGGCTCAGGACAGGATCCGCAATGGACAAAGTATAACCTGTTTGGACACAAACTCGGGATAATTGTCCTGAAGCAGCTGAACAGCTTGCTTAGTCGCCAGCCGAAGCTCTTTCTTACCAGGTCCGGGCGAGTTCTTCAGATCATTCACCTGACAAATGGTCGAGACCCCACCCGACACGAAATCCAGCTTCCTTATACTCTTCTCTAGGAACTGAATTCTCCATCTCAAGAACATGTTCCTCTTCTCCTCGTCCGAAAACGTCTTCTGATACAAATCATTGTTCTGAAACTCTCCGTACACGTTGTAACACACCGGATGACCTTCTCTGTCGTGTCCCTGCATGAACACAACCTTGTCAAGATCGTCCCCAAGGTTTTCGTCGATTAGCTCGTCGATGTTGAACTCTTTTCTCCATTGGAGTGTTTCTCTGAGCATTGTGCAAGCTTCTTGAGCCTTTAAATCTCTCGCTCTCAGGAATTTCAGCAAAACGACGTCGCTTCTGTCGTCTTTGAGGAGAGGGATTCCCCAGATGGAGATTCCGCCGGAATCTTCACCGTCGGTGTTTGCTTCTTGGACGAGCCGCCGGAGTTCGTGGAGGGAATTCAACTCGGATTCCGACAGGTCGGAGATTCTGTTGCTTTCTTCTTTGAATGAGCCAAAGCTACGAGGAATCTGAATCGTTGGTTTAGCCTCATCGCCGGAGGAAGCGGGTGTCGCCGCCGGCGAGTTTTCCGAGCGTCCTTCTCCGGCTGCTTCGGCCTCTTCTCTGTCCATCATCTCAGCTAGAGACCTAGATGCCACGACCACCGGTTTAGCCGGTTTGGCCGGTTCAGGCTCCACCGAAGTAGGCTTATCAGTCTCCGATTCTGTATCCGAGTCGCCGGGGATCTTGTGCTTTGGCTCCGGCAGCTCTGTATCGGGCTCCGCCGCTGCGGCTTCCAA